ACTGATGCCTTTTTTCCTTATATCATTAGCTTCATTATATATCTATACAGTCTCTTTATTCTTATCTGATCCGCAAATAAAGTAGTTAACATACATGAAGTTTTCTAACATTTTTATAGTTCTGAGACAGATATTTTCAAATTTCTTTAAATGATGCTTAATGTAGATTTAAACTAGTTTCTCCTTTTACTAGTAATTTTAATTTTCTTGATATATCATCTCGGATTGCAGAGATTTGAACAATAAGATTTCAAAATTCTTCCGTTAACATTAACAGAAGAATTTTGAATAATGTTGTCAAGAAGACACCTAGCAATAAAGTTTTTATTTCTACCCTCAGCCACAGTATACACCGTCTAAATCATAATAGTAGATCCTGCTTTAGTAGAAGAATTTTGAACAATTTCCTCCGATGTTTCGGTTTCCTTACTTTTTACACTGAAGATAGCTGCTGACTCGAGGATTTACACAAACACTTTCATGATGTTTACCACGACAATTTCTGCAGGAAAATTGTTTGTTCTTACAACTGATTGCCATGTGTTTACTTCCAAAACACAGAAAAACATCTTCTGGTACGTTTCAAAAAGTTGCGTTTCTCTTCGAAGTTCACTTCTTGTATTTGTGTTTTGTATGGTCGCCTTTATCACAAAATATACATTTGTATCCAATAGTTGACAAAGCTTAAGCAGAGGAATTTTCGCTTTATAAGTCGGATACGCTTTCGTAAATTGGTCATGTTGACGAATGCATTGTTTCTGATTGGTTTTCGCACAGTTCATTAAAATTGCAGCTTCTCTGAATAAACTACCTTTTATACGAATTCTGTAAGTTGCTTTATATCAAATCCTGCTTTCATTTTTCGACTTCGATTAAATTCTAAATTGAATTCATCTGGAAATTTTTGCAAAATTATAGGACAGAGAATATTTCCATAACTTCCAGATGTAACATTTAACAATTTTAAACTTCTGCTGTTGACTTCGCATTCATCTTACAATTTACGCAGGACTTTAGCGTTTGAAATGCTCCCTACTGTTTAAAGAGATAATAATTTATTTATATGCGAAATGGTGATTACATCTTGTCTTCCAAAACGTTCTTTCAGTATTTCTATAATCATAATTGTGGTTACTTAAAGCGAAAAAGGAAATGGCAGCTAAAGCATTACCGCTAAGTAAGGATTTTATTGTGAATTGTATTTTCGAACTGGTTCCAAAAGTCCAACCATTTACACAAATCTCCGTAATAAGTCCCGATTTGCGGTAGTGGTAACTTCACTGTTTTTATTTCTTAAGCAAGTGCGACTTTCGCAATTTCGTTCTCAAGTATTCAGATTTAGAAAGTTCCGAATTCTTTTTCAAAAATTGTTGCATTCTTCCTCTCCACATAGCATTTTTATCCCCGTATTCTTAAGCCTAACTTCCTTTTCAGTCTCTTTTGAAGTTACTTTTGTTTAGATTTTTCTAAATCTAAGCTTTTGTTGTTGATTTTTTTAATTAATTCTTCATACAAATCCTCGCTTATTTAAATTTTTTTCCTTTAGTGAAACATCCAAAATCGCTAAATTAATTCCGATTTTGATAAACAGTTTACTCATAAACTGCCTTACAAAAATATCGTTCCTTTTTCAAATTTTCAAGAACTCTCTCCATTTTCAAACGTTTCGTCTGTCGATTATTCCGATTCGTAATAACACCAGGAAGGAGCCACCATAAAAATATATATAAGTCTCTAATAAATCAAACTGGATCGAATTTAAGGTAACTAACAGAAAGCGTTATTCTGTACAACGTTTATTCAAAAACACCGAAGACGAACTATTACATATACACAAATATGACATCACAGTTTCTTTTTCAAATAAAAACTACCACTATATGTTGGCAAGTGGAGAATATGTAATTATGAATTTATTTTTAACAAGTAGAACGGGAGATATAGAATTGCCCCCCTTTTTGTGTTTGTTTTGCAAGATTGTACCTTGTGGCCGAATCCATACTTTTAAAACTTAAGGAGGAATATAAGCATATTTTGTAATTTCTGAATATCTGCACGCCAAAAAAAAAAATCTGCAGCATATTGTCGACTTTATAAATTGGCTAAAAACATTTACTTGAAATTATTTCTTAAGAACCGAGAAAATGTTTTAGAAAAACTAAAGTATTTATATAGCTTGTACTTGCATTTTTACGGCTGATACTGGTTGATACCGTTCAGCTATGGCCTTCCATGAAAGGGCGGTTGATTACGAAACCTGTATCTCCACGTCTAATGAAACTCGCGTGTGATACGCGCATACGTAATCTTGCTATCGCGCGCACACTCGAAAATACTCCAGAAATACAGCATTTATGCCGAATGCTGAAACTGAGAGAACAAACAATCAGAAAATTCTGCATAATTTCCGAAAGAAATTTTTCTCAATTTAAATATGCTTCTAACTTAGATCTGAAATAATTTAGATCTTAGAACTTGCATAGTTTGAAGACTTTCATCTTAGTTATCTTCGTAGTAGGAATGGCTTGGCGCGACAGTTTATTTTTAGAGGTAGTTTCTGTGCTTATAGCACTGAATTAGGGCCTATTGTCTTCTTGTTCGGTATCGTGGTTAGTTTTAGACCAAGTTTTGAATTCCGCAGAATGCGTGGATACATGAAAATGTATAGTGTCTTTAAGGCATGGAGCACTTAAAAAATAAGGCAAGCTTAAAGTCCTCTTGAATGGCTTGGTGATAGAGAAAGAGGGATCGGAAATTGTTGGACAAGCCCCCTCCTTTAAAATATTCTTTTTCAAAATTGAGACGGGACTGAGCAAAGTCATACTGTCATCTACTAGCTATCCAAGGCCGATACAACAACAAACGCAATCTTGCGCGTCTCTCCATGATAAATTTCGGCACATGCTCTGATGTTGCAGTCAGAAAAATGTGATAATTCAGAACAACCAACTATCTCTATGAGATTTTGACTAATGTTTATACGAGCGGATGGAACTGATCTGACCGGCGGAACGTGCAAGAAAGATGCACCTTTTTGCAAATTTGAAATGGTTTGCAGAGAGACAGGTGTGTCTCTTCAACCTCTAGCACCGAGGTTAATGGTCCTCTTATGAAGTTCAGCTTATATCGTGAAGAATGCAGCCTTCATCAAGATGTCGGGGCACCCATTTAAAGGTCTTTATCTTAGCGAACAGTGGCTGCCTTGCATGAAAATTCATTGTTTATGCTAGGGAAGGAAAGAACTAGATCCAACGGTTATGAATTTTTGATTAGATAATGACGATGAGGTTCAGACAATGGATTTAGTACGGTTACCATTAATTTACGTCATTTTTTTGTTGGGAGGAGGTGCCGTCAAATATTTTTCATCCAATCAGTTTGTTGTTTTTGTTGCATGAATCCTACAATTATGATTAATATTTCAATCATGTATATGAGATGATGAGCTGGCAATATGGCCATCAGCGCATCAGAAAATTTCCAAGCTTCCAGATAGCCTCATTTGCTCCCATCTTACTGTGAAACGTAGCGCGAATAATTTTATTATTTTCCGTGGCCAATTTTGCATGGAGGTAGACAGAATGTTGGTAGGCTGTTTAATACGGAACAGATATTCGCTGATGTTACCTTTTAATTTGGCATGGTTGGACTTATAGGAAGAATTCAGTAATTTTTCGGGATACTAACTGATTCTCTGAACTCTAAGATTTATTTATGGATATTGTAGCTTTGAAATACTTTATTCTACAACATTAAAATTAGCAGTGCACTAACATAAGCCTAATACATTTTTCTTAAAACTCAAATTTTCAAAACTTAAAAATTAGTAGAATACAGAGTCTCAGTATCATAACTGGAGACATCATTGTTATTACTTTTTTCTGTTGCTGTCAACACAAACTTTTTTCCTCAAAATAAAATCATTGTAAGTACACATTTATATGTTCTAAACGAATTCCATTTGATCATCGTTGGTAAGAATTTCCTAACGACAAAGCTGATGGATCATCAGGCAACTCTTTTAGTCTTTTCTAAACAGGATACACAAGAAATATATATATCTAATAATTTTAAAGTACACATGTATATGTATATGTATATGTATATACACTTCCTAAGTATCAAAAAAATATTTTTGGCATCTACTTATAAATCAGTCATTTTCTGATTAATTTGAGAATTTAGCACTCCAGCGTACCAAAAAAAAAAAAAAAAAAAAAAAAAAAAAAAAAAAACTTTCTTATATTCGGGCATTAAATCATGTATTTATCAACTAATATAAATTTCGTTCTTTTTATTAATTGGCATTTCTTACTGCAATATTTTAGATATTGAAAGTCTTAAAAATACATTGATACAGAAAAATATTTATGGAAGGAAAACAATTCAGAACATCAATTACTTTATAGTTTCCCGTGCAAAGTTTTTTGTTTGGTCTTTCATTATTTAGTATAAAACTTATGAAGCTTTTCAAATATATTCTTATTTAATCTTTTAATGCGTAAAAAAAAAAAGAAAAAAAAAAAAAAAAAAAAAGGAAACCCATGGACATCAAGAAGATTCAAAGAATTATAAAAGTCAAAATTTGAGTATCAAGTTACCGCTTTTTTTCATTCATATTTAACACTTTCCATTCGATGTATCATAATATATATTACTATAATGTTCTGTGTGTTTGAAAAATTAATCATGTTTTGGAATACGATACAAAACACAAACAGGCTTTTCGAATGTCTGATCACTGGACATGTAAGCAAATGAAGCTGTCTATCCAGCGACCAAAACAACGATGTATGACTTTTCACAACTGTGTTAATCCGAGTAGAGTAAATATCAAATAAACATTCTGCCATTAAACATTTTGAAAATTCTTCAAGGGGGTTCATTTTGTTGCTTAGAAACTCATCCTATGTTTTTAATATCGTTCTATCGCAGGTTATTTATAAAAAGTGACATTTAAATTGCGCATTGATACATCAAACACGACCGTCTGTTGCTAGTTGAGAGTAGCCATTTTGGTTGCGAACAAAGCTGTGTAAAATCTCTGTAAAGTAGAATTATAGTATTTTTATCACTCTGAAGAACATTTTATTTTTAGGTTACTATGTTACTGACGTTTCTACATGCCTACTCATAGCCATGGCCGATCGGAGGAAATTACAAGGTTTGTTGACTTATCAAAATAACTTCGTTGTTGACCTGCAGCAATTTTGAAAATGGGGTCTAATATAAACAAGGTTTAAAGATCATTATGACAATCATATAAGCAGTGCTTTCAACATTTTTTCTAAATGTTAAAGATTAAATATGTGTACTTTAATAAATTATAAGACTTCAGTCAACTGTTTTGCAATATTTGTAATGAAAATAAACCATATCAAGTGTTAATCTTGATTCTTTCGGAGAGAGAAAGCGTAGTACTTTAATTTTCTTTTCATTTTCTATGACGAAACAATCATTTAGTCATTTAATAGAGGTAGTTACAGTTTAATACCGATCATTTTATTCAGATAGTGCTGATTTTTTTATAATCTCCTCAGACTTGGAATTTTTATTTTAAAGGCAAGAAAATTTATTTTTTGGGATTTGCATGGGTACATCAAAGTACTTCCAAAAGCTGTGTTTATATCCACGTGTTTGTTATATAACATGAAGTTTGTATTATTATTAAATGAGAATAGTATGTAAAGTTACCATTTACATAATTAACCTTGAAAACTGCTATTAGACATGTGATTATATAGATATACTGAGTATGTACTATTTCATGCCTAAGATCTGAGTTAGCTTTAAATAGTGATAATTTTCTGTGAACTTTCTTGTGAATATGAGTTGAACTGTAGCAGCATCATTAAATAATTATGGTTTACTCTTTTTTAAATATTTAATTCTATTTTTGACAGTTCATGTGTATGAACTGCAGTTGAACTCATAAGCGTACATCCATTCTTTATGATCTTTAAAAAGTATTTTTGAAAGTTGTGTAATAAATATAATTTTGGGAAAGAAAAGAAAGCGTCTGCATGTCTATGATCACATTTTTTTTTTTTTTTAAACTTGTGTACGTAATAGTTTTCAATGTTTTGGAATTTATATTTGATCTTCGTGCCAGAAAACTGAAATATGAATTTGTTTTAGGTATTAGTTATTAGGAGTATTTTGAAGGCATTATGGAACTATCTTCAGGAATAGATTTAATGAAAATTATTAGTTAGTTTACGATTAAAGTATAGCATAAATACTGAAGTACAGTAAAAGTTGTGAAATCATATGATGCATCATGATTTTTGATAATCATTGTTTAAAATTTCATGCCAAATTGTTTGATAATGTTACGTTTTGTGTTTTGCATGTTACTAATTGTTAACTTCTGATATTTGCATCTTTATTAACAGATGAATAATATTTTAGCATGTGTTAAGGCCAAGAATTACTTATCTCTGCATTTAAAAATAGTAAAAACTTTTTCCATGTATAAGGATCAAAACCATATGGTGTATTGTAGTTGAAATAGAACATTTCACCTAGATGACAGAACTTATAACATTGTAAGGAATGTCATGAATGTAATTTTAAGTTTTATGAAAATTTCTTTATATGTAAATGGGATTTATTTAGTCATTCTTAAAATTATGATTTCTGCTGAACCTTTGGTTTCTCTTATTATAAATTTTAAATTAATATTAATTAACAAAAATATCCTTAATCCAAATAACACTGCTATAATTTCTGATGCATGTATATGATGCAAGTCTTTGTCATATAGTTCTAAAAATCAGCTGAAATTGCTATTTTTAGGTTTTATAAATATATTTTAGTAATCATTTGAAATAGCAAAGGAATTCAGATTTTATTAATGGAAAATGATTTTAATTTTCTATGAGCTTCTACTTCTGTTATCAAAAAGGACATTTATTAGCCTCATGTCAGTAATGTAATTACAATAAGTTGTTTTCATATTCAGTAAAACATAGGTAGAATTTTTACCTTATGGGTTTATAACCAATGTTTGTTTATATAAATATATATATATATTTTACTTTCCATGAACACAAAAAAACTTAAAATGACTCTAAGGAAGTGTTGGAAGTGGTAGAAATGTATTCCATTATTTTTTACATAATGGAAAAATTTGTGCATAAAAAAAGTGTAAGTTTTTAAAATATTATCATATATATATAAAACATTGCATGTAAAAGAAACTACACTTGGCCAAATGTGATACAATTAAATCTGATTACTTGATTTATAACTTAAAATTTTAAGATGTATGAAATTCTAGATCCGTATGTGTCACATAAACAAATGTTAATAGGACTGCATAGCATGGCTGTTCAATATAATTTTTTTAAATCTTTTTATTTACCTCATTTTTAAATGCAAAAAGGCTTTAAAATTTTCGTTATTAATTATTTAATGCATATGTCTTGAAACTTTGTTCATTTGGGTATGTTCATTTGTGATTTGATATTTTTTTAATTATTTCCTTTTTTGCAATTTATTTAATTTTTTCTCTAATTATTGATTATGTGTTTGTTGAGGTAAGCTATTAATACTTAAAAATTATACTCTAATACCTATAAGATACTTGCTTTACAGCTACAGTATTGTTGACTAGAATAGATATTACAACCAAAATATAAAAATAAAATATATCTTTATTATTCCTTAAGATTTGCTGCAGTTCATAATTCATTGTCTTGAGGCAATAATTCTAAAATTTATTATACTGTAAAGTCAGTTTCTTTTTGTTTATTCTTTTAAATCTACTTTAGAAATCATCATTTGGATAGGAGCAGAGGAAAGCAGCATGTTGTTTACATGCAAAAGCAGCGTGTTGTTTACAGTAAGACAGTTGCATGTTGTTTACATGCGAAAGCAGCATGTTGTTTACAGCGAGTTTTTAAATAATGCTCATCAAGCTTTACTCCAGCAAAAAACAATGTAATTTCAGTTTTATACGTAATTACAGAAATATGTGCAAATAATTTAGAAAGAAGGGTAGATTTTATTAACAAATAAAAAAAAATGTTTTGTTGGCATTGTGCTTAAAGTTCTTTTAGTATAATTTATTAATTATTAATATTTTACTATATTATCAGAGATGTTAGGGATTATTTGATTTGAAATGCTCCTTTATAAAAGGATTTTTATTTTATTTTTATCATCATTGATTTTTAGTTTTTCTCAATTTACCATATTGTCTATGTCCATATACGCTGAAATTATCATTACTTGTGTCATAATTTTTTGAGAAAAAAGTCCTTTTTATATTTGCACTTTGTTCCAATATGAATTTTTTATCTTGAGTGAACATTTTTTGAAACAATATTTAGTGTTTGTTCAACTTTCAAACTAGGAGAAATCGAAAGGTGTTTGAAGAAAGTCAGTGAAGGTGTTGAGACATTTGAAGACATCTGGCAGAAGGTAATGATTTTAATTATGCAGTTTGTTCAGAAATGTCAGGCAAGTAGTTTTTATTATGTATATAGATTAAATATTAAAATCAATTGTAAATATTGTTTGTATCACTTATATTATAGCTGGTATGATTTATTGGTGTAAGTAATACATTCATAAAAATTACTCTTGTATCAATGTTATATATTTGTTTTTTTAGTGGCATGGTTTTGTGCTCTTCCTCCCCCCAGAAAAATGATAACTTTTATAGCTTGCTATTGTAAGAAATACACTAGCCATGTACTTTTTCTACCTAAATTCAGTTTTGCAGCATTGAAACTGTGGATCACTGCTCGTAATTCTTCAATCAAATCTCACTTATAATTCTAATGCAACAGTAATTATCTTGGTCTGTTTAGTAATTTGAAATTGTCACGTAAGGTTGTGATCATCAATTTTGTTACACTTTTGAACTGTTGTGTGAGTATATATGTTTTCTTTTTGTGTTATGTTTTATTATAATTTCAAACAGTATCTATGCACTTAGAATGATGATCAAATGAGATTGTCAAATGAAAATTGTAGCAAGCAAAAGAAATTTGTTTTATTTATAATGATGAAAACTAGACAAGAATGTAAAATTGCATAATCATGGTAGTCAGTCTGAAATATTCTTATTTCATTATGACTTTACTAGTGATGATAATAAAGATAATGTGTACTTAAATTAAAAATACAGCAAGTGAAAAGGGGGAAAAGAATTTGCAATATTTTTAAAAATAACTAAAAAAAGATTATTGTAAAAGTATTATCAGGGCAAAAACTGAGTACAAAGATCATTTTGGAAGACATTTTTTACTTTTAGAAAATATAATAATGTGATTGATAAAATTGTGAACTTCACTAACAAGTTATATGTAACATAGGCATTAAATTTATTGTGCCAGCCAATTTTATAAAATGTGTATGTTAACAAATAAAAAAAGCTGTTTTTTGTTTATGTTTTGTAGTAAATTACAAATTTTGTATTTGATATATTGAGAAAGCAAGTAATATTAATAAAATCAAGTCACCTAAATTTGTAAACAATTAAATCAGAATTCTAAAGGTTTTATTGTAAGAAGGAATCATAAATAAAATGGAAATAGGTTTTACTGCATGTATTGAAAAAGTATAACATCCACATATTAGCATAACAAAATTTACTGTGCCTTACAGGAAGTTAATGAGGAATGACCTTGTCAGAAGTTTTAAATTATTGTTTCTGTATTATTCATATAGGAAGAAATATGCCTTGCTATAAATATTTACAAAGTAATTCTGTAAATCCTGAATTTCAGCTATATTTGGTGACCTACCAAAAATTTAGAAAGAGAGGTACCAACATAACTGCACAACATATTGAGGGTAAATAACTAGTTTTCGATGGAAATGGGCCTTAATGTTGTCAAAATAGAAGCGAAAGCATCTGCGTATGGCAGCTGTTATATTTTGAAAAAAAAAACTTGCGCATATAGCTCTCATGAAAGAATTCATTCACATTGATGCAGGAAAAAACTGTATGAATATAAATGAAAAGCTTCTGTCAAGATGCTTAAACTGTCTTGGCATAAACTAGTTACTGCCATAGAAGTGGCAGTAATTGCCAGAAGCTCATAAAATAACTAAAAACTCTTTAAAATTGCAATAAGTAATAGAAGTAAATATCAATATTAAGCATATTCAGCTGCAGTGTTGATAATATTTTTTTCAAAGATATATAGCAGCATTTTTACTCATCATGTTGAGTGTAGCTTTTTCTTTGAAATGAAGCAAAAGACCAATTTCATGACTGTTCCAAAACCCAAAGAGTTTTTAAATTGTTGTGAATAAATGAAAAGTTCAGGAATATTCTTTCAAGCACAGCAGTACTTACAGGCAATGTCATCATCATCAATTGCAAACAAGTGTTGCAACATCTTCATTTTCAAGTATTTTCTTTAAACTAAACTACTATGTAAAAGCTGCAACATTCTATAAGACTTTATTAGAGAAGTATGTGTAAAAAAGGGGGGGAGCTGATTTTATTTGAAAAGTTATGATGAAAAGTACAAAAGATTTTGTCATGAAGTAATATCCTAGCAGTTTCTTCCCATAATTTGATAATTTAGATCTCATGTTCTTTTGGTAAATCCTACTAAGTTATTAAGCAAGTAAAACTGCTTTTAACTTCTTGTCATAAACATCTTTAAGATTGTGATCAACCATTAATGTTAATCATAGTTCAACCAAAATAAAAGTCATAATTTTGGATCTTATCCTGTGTAAATAATGATGGGTTTCTCCAGCTTTTAAAAGTGTTTTATTTCTCAGATAATTATGATATCATCCATCACTTCAATTAATCCTTTATTATCCATATTATGATTTTCAAGTATTTGTGATTTCTCACAAATGATTTTAAGTGGCTTGCCAGAATTTTCCACCTGGTGCTGTCTGTATTTCATCTTATGTTTGGTCTATTTTTAAATTTGGTTACATATGCTGTCCCAGGAGAAAAGAAAGAAAATTCAAGATAAATTATGTTTAAAGTTTAATTTGAGCAATGCATTGCATAAAGATGACTATAAATATATTTCTGCAATTCAAAATATTAAAAAAATCAATCTTTTAGATATAAATCTAAAATGTGTGACCATAGGCAAAAATGCCTGTCCCTTTCAAGTTTCATGTTATTCATTTTCTTTGTTTTGTAACCTAATTTATTTTTTTAAATAAAGAAGTTTAATTATTTTAAATATGAACTATTAGTGTGTTATGTTCATGATAAAATTAATTACATAAGTTTTTTCTTTAACAGTCAATAGAAAAATAATTTGTCTTTCACTTCATGTCAAGTCCGTTACCTTGATATTATTTTACTCAAAATTAGTTTGAAAATTTGTCTAAAAGGGGCAGTACATATTTAGTGACATAGATAAACTAGTCAAGCTAAGTTTGACTACTCTGAGTATGTGTTGCCCCCAAGCAGATATACAAACTAATTGTGGGTAAAATAATCTCAAGGTAACAGACTTGACATGAACTGGAAGACAAATTATTTTTATTCATTTGCTAAATTTTTAGAATTTTAAATATTAATTTATCTTGAATTTTCTTCTGGGACAGCATATGTAAGCAAAATCTGAAAATGGGCCATTTACAGTTTATTTATATTTGGGCAGCTGTTTAACTGGAGCACTTTACCTGTGGTGATTTCTGAAATATTTTTAAAAGATAACACTATTTTGTATTTGCATAAGAAGAGTAAGAACAGAATGCTCCAAAGTTTCAACAAATTAATTTTCTTCATAATTTTCTTTATTTATGCTATTTTGCTTTATGATCTATTAAAAGCATTTTTACGTTGCTTGTATATCTTTTCTCTTTTTGTTATTGCTGCCTTCCTTATTTATGTACAATTACCATTTTTTTCTAAATTTTCAGAATTAAATATATTGTGCTTATGTTATTTATACTGGTATATTCAGTTTTAGTATGAAACACATTAATAAAATTGGGGCTGTTATATATGTGGCTCCAACCATTTTAATCTGTGCATTGTATTTTTTGTCTTTTCCACACAGTATTAGCAATTTAGTGTTTATAGTAGCCATTCAATACAGTAGGTATTAGTTATTTAGTATTTATTGAAAATGTGCTAGGATATCCCACCAGTATTTCCTTTAAAAAAAGGTGTGTAATTTAATCTTGAAAGCTAATCATACATAGTGATGCTTCTAACAAAAGATGGAATATTATTACTGTAAAAGAATCAGATGTCAAAGATGTCTTTGTCCTCTGGATTTGTTTTAATCACTGATTTGATATGTCAAAAGTTGATATCTTCTATAATCATTCTATTATTGTTATTAGCCCCCAAAAAATAATTATTATTCATTTTTGGCTGGGTATAAAAATTCTAAATTCAGTCAGTTGTCTTATCAGCTGTACACATAATAACATTAGGAAATATCAATGAATTACATTCAAACTTTCTGTTTATAAAAATTGTTCTCTAAATATGAAGCTGTCTCTGAAATATTATTGCTGAATCAGTTGCAGTTAATTAACCTGCAGCTTAGGAGACAGTCATAAATCAATGATGACTGATTTTTATATTTTGTTGATTTATTCATTTGCCTTTTTGTTTATTCAGTTATGAATTATTACAAAACAGGCAAGGCATGTCTGCCTAAAGAAAGTGTTGCCTTCTATTTTTTATTGTTAACAATTAATTTCTAAGCATACATTTTAAAAAATAAGTGAATAAGTAAACTAAATTTAATAAATTTGCTCTTTTTCCATTATTAGAATGGTGGTTGGAGTAATATTTAATTTTTTTCATTAATACTATACATGCAGTTTTTATTTATTCAATGTAGTTTATTAAATTAGTAAGGATTGCTAATTGATACATCATCTGTACATTGAAAAGAATAGCATTGTTATAAGAGATAAGAATGCATTTAATTTTGTGATGGCTTTGTAGGCAAAGTTGGCACATTTATCTTTTTGTAGAATATTGTTTTGGATGCTTGTCATATAATACAAAAAAGCCCTACATTTTAAACACTATTATTAATTTCTGCTAGTTATTGCCAATTTTTGCTGGTTCCTGCTGCTTACAATTAGTTTCTGCCACCTGCAAGTCAAAAGTTGTTTTCTGACAGGAAAAAAAGGCCAAGCCTTGGTTTGGTAGCATGTCAGATTGCTTTTATGAAAATTACTATATATTGACCTGAAGTAAAATTGCTGTACTATTATCTTCTGGATTTATGCGTGGTTGTATAGTGAATGACTGTATACATTCTATTATTACACAAGCTAATATAAGGACTTCCAGTTTCTTATTTGTATTTGTAATTAAACCTAGACTTTTCTCATTCATTCCAGCATTTATCATTTTTGTTTTATGATTATCGCATCATATGATAGAGTACTGAATCATGTTGTAGAATTAAATCCATTTTTTGAGTTCCAAAATTTTTCAGAACTGTCTTGTAAGATTTTATGTTATATTTCATTGTATTTTTAAATTTCTCCTTCCCTCCAATCAATTAATACCTCTTAGAAAAGTAATCCCTGCATTCTGTAATGTTGAAAATGGTGACTAATTAAAATTATAGATCCTGTTACTTTCTTGTCTTGCTGTTGATTTTTATTTTTAGTCTTTTTGCATCGTAAATAGGGATATGCTTCTCTAAGCAGTTGCTGTACAAAAAGCAGCCTTCCATACCAGATTATCTTTATTTTATTATGATTATGAGTAAATTGTAAATATGTACTTGTTAATTAAAACTGAATGAAAAACATACATATATATTTTGGTGTCTTATGCATTTTAATGTTATATTAAGGAGTTTATAATGATAATTTTTCTTTAAAATTTATGAGGATAATTTTATGCCAGAAATGAATATTAATACCATTTTCATACTTTGCTGCATATTTTTTTTAATTCTGTGCTTATTTATTTTTGCTGATCATTTTAGAAATTTTGTTATCAAGTATTAGCAGATTCAGTTTTAATCAACTGTACACTTCATCTTCTTTTCTAATTTTTTTATCTGGAGAGAAAGGCTTAAATTGCAAGTTACTGATAAATATATTCTTGCTTCATTTTTCAGTAATCTGTTTTTGAATCTTTAGGTTCATAATGCCACAAATACAAACCAAAAAGAAAAATATGAAGCTGATCTCAAAAAGGAAATCAAGAAACTACAAGTAATTTGTCAACTTTAAATTAAAAATCAAATACTATAAATCAAATGATATATATAACAGTATATAAACTGTGCTGTTATTTTATGTGAGAGTTTTATTGCAATTTCAGAGGTTACGAGATCAAATTAAAACGTGGATGGCATCCAGTGAAATTAAAGATAAAAGGATACTCTTAGAAAATAGGAAATTAATTGAAACAGTGAGTTTTGATTTTTTTCCCCCACATTTTCTTTTGCTTCTGTATTTGTTGTATTTACAATCACACTTTGTAACTTATTTTGTTTATTACATGGAATACTGAAATTTTTAAGAGTTTAGCTGTTCTTGTATAGATTTTCTCCCTTGTATGAGCAAAATTTTGGTGTTTGAAGAGAACATTGCAGTATTCAATTTAGAAATAAACTAGTTATAATCCAGTTATTTTGAAAACAGCTTGCGCACAAAACTAATTCTGGAAGTACGAATCCATTCAGAATGTATTAGAAATGCTAGTTAACTGTTAATTGCTGCATATTTCATAGAAATTCAGACACTGGAGTACATTCACTTGTGGCTATGATGAAAGTGTCATAGTTTTCTGTATGTGATACCAATCACCAAAGTGCCCATTTAAATTGTGTTATGAATAGCTGTATAATGTCTAATCTGTGAAGTTCTTTAACGTTTCTTTAAAGCTTTACATATTTTTAGGCCTTTAATTTTTGCAGTTGGCAGCGCATGGATTTAATTATTAGTTTTCTCATTTCTTTCTGAAGTTTTTTACAGAACAAGGCTGTTTTGAAATTTATCAGACTCTAGAATGAACTTAATTTTTTTTTAACTATCTTGAATAAATAAGTTAATTTTTTTTAAATCTGTTCTCGCTGTTGATTATGAATAGCTGTACTATGGCAATTTTATTTTTTGAAAGGTGTCAGTGACCAGCTGTGTGCATCTTTCTTATAGAAATGTGACATGCTTCATAAATATCTGTGTGTATGATACAGTCTGTAATACTCATTATTTTATGGACATTGCCTTTAATATTTTTATAGTTTCAAAACAAAAGAAAAATTCAAATGCCTATTAGTACGTGTTGTCTTAAAAATGCAGTCTAATAATATTGGTGAAAAAGTTTCAGAAACTTGTAGAGACCATTCTTAAATGCATTTATTGTGGTATAGTAACTATAGATAGTCAGTATGGTTTTAGGTAGATGTAACGAATAAAGTGGCTCATTGTTGAAAAAATTGTCAGAGGGTTTTGGTGAATGAACTAATAACTGCTGCCTATAGGATTGTTTTAAAATGTCTTTATAAATTATATTCTTATGAAATTAGGTTGAAATAGTAAATTTGTATTGGGGAAAAGATGTGCTTTATATATATGTGAGATAAAAAATACATAAATCAGTTTTATAATTTAATTTAGTAATAGCTTCTTAATTCTTCATTTTTAATTTGACTATTTCCTCTCTGTATTCTCAAAGTAGTAATAACTTTCCTGACTGTGCCATTTCTAGATTAATAGGTACCTTAGAGCTTGCATAAAGATGATGATGTGGCTTATTCAGAACTTGAACTCAAAATTTTGAGAACTAACATTACTTGGCTGCCAAGTTTCCCAATCACTACAGATTCAACATGTTAGCATACTATGCAATCAGAATTATTCCTCTTCAGTATGTATCTACGCTGTATGCCAAACAACATTGCTACATCTTTATCTCTTTTTTTTTTATCATATATACACATACAGCAATTTAAAATTACCTGTTCAGCTTCTCAAATTCTGAATTCCTTTCGAATATGCCATTTGGTAAATGTCAATTAGTATTTAATTATCACTGCAATAATATTTTAATCTTCCAAAGAACAGAAAGTGCTTTCTAGAAAATGAAAATTCTTAAGAAAAAGCTTTTTAAAACTATGAAATTTTTTGTACAGCTTTGATAAAACTTTAGAATTAGCAATATTTTTATTATTCTCAATGAAGCAAATTTTATAATCATGTATGAAAATTCTTTATACATGTATATATCATGAATTTATTCTAAAACTGTAAAATAAATTTCCTTTAAATTTTGCATGAGCATGGGAAGCAATAAATAACTCGTTTCCTTTAATTACTTAGATTATTTGAGAATTTTTACTATGATTCATTGTTTTATGTAAAATTTTTGTTTCTATCTTTGAAATTATTTGCACAAAATGACCGTATTGATTGCAGTATTTTGTACTAAATGTTGCTGTCAAACTGAATGCAGGCAATCATCTTTTTCACTTTTAAAGTTTTGTTCAATACTATTCTTTTAAATACACTCATGTCCATAAATTAAGAATAATGCAAAATCAGGCAAAAGAAGAGTTAGAAGCAAAACAAATTTGATTTATTTGTAAAGCTTATTTATTAAACAAAAGGTAAAGAGCCAAAACAGATGCTATATGTTTGATATTATTAAAAAAATTAGCAATTTTTTCTCCCTGGAGCAAATTACAAAAAACAGCTATTTACAAAAATCCAATATTACATGGTTGGTATGATTGTTAATACATTGTATGTCTCCCAGACTATGCAATACAGTCCATACAACGCCTAGGCATGCTGAGTATCAAATTATCGATCTGATCTTGGGGGATATTACACCACTCAAAAAGCAATGCTCTCCGAAGTTCCGGTAGACATGTAGGAGGAGGTTGACGGGCTGCAACACGTCGGGAAAGCATGTCCCACACGTGCTCTACTGGATTCAAGTCCGGTGAGAATGCTGACCAGTCCACGCGGGTGATATCCACCGATTGAAGGCATTCGCTTACGATGTTTGCACGGTGAGGACGGGCATTGTCATCCATAAACACAAACTGTGCGCCCATGGCGACCCTAAACAAATATACATGTTGTTCCAGAATGATGTCCCGATAGATTTGGCTCGTCATGGTTCCAATTTGAACGTGCAGGTCAGTTCTGGAACCCAGAATAATTCCACCCCAAATGAGCACTCCTGTACCACCGTAATGGTGTCGTTCAATGATGTTTTCTTGATGGTAACGGGTACCTGAAGCTCTCCATATGAAAGTCCGGCGAGAATCTGACTGCAAGCTAAACCTGGACTCGTCAGAAAACATCACACAAGCCCACTGTTGCGGTGTCCACAAAGCACGCTCTCTACTCCAGGCTAACCGCAGGCGACAGTGAGTTGCAGTAAGTGGAACACATCCGACAGGTCTACGAGCATATAGACCAATCTGCCTAAGCGTCTGTACGCGGTCTGCCTTGAAATTGTCGTACCAGTGGCTGAAGAGAGCTGTCGAGACAGGTCTGAGGCTGTGCTCCGCCTGTTTCTTTTGGCAGTAACTGCCAAATACCGGTCCTCATTCGGCGTTGTAACTCTGGGGGGACCTGTGCTGTAACGTCTACTCACATTACCATCATCTTGGAATCATTGCCAAAGCCTGGAGATGACACTCTGGGCAATTCCAAGTTCGTCTGATACTTCCGGTTGGGTACGCGCACATTCCAGACGGCCGATAATTCTACCACGTAAAAAATCATCCAAATGCGTCCTTTGTGTCATAACTATTCGGTTATTGCACTGAAATGCTTATAAAGTGCCTGCGAACAATTTTACTTCTTTGCCTGTATTCCTTATATATCACTCTCTTACACTTTCGTCATCATGACGTACCATCGGTGTCATCTGGCTACTTCCTGAAATTTGCATATGATTCTTGAAGATGTGTGTAGTGATTTTACAGGTGATATATTTATTTTAGAGTTCGATTTCCGCGTGACTCTGAATTATCCTTAATTTATGGACATGAGTGTAATTATTATCAATAACAATGTTAGTACTCTTTCCTAAGATTTTGATTGCTGTTAAGTTTATATTATTATGTTTTATGTTAAAGCAAATGGAAAGGTTCAAAGTAGTAGAAAGAGAAACAAAAACCAAAGCTTATTCTAAAGAAGGTCTGGGTGCTGCACAAAAATTAGATCCTGCACAAAAGGAAAAAGATGAAATTACTAATTGGTTAGCTGTAAGTAATTCTCATGTATTTGTTTTTGAAACTTTCCTGAAACAAAACAGGTTTCTCATCTTTGGTTATCCATATTATCATATCTGTTCTTTAAAAGAGGTACTTCAAGATCTCTGTGATGCTTCCTCATTTTTGATTATAAGCACATATCATTATCACTTTACAATGCCTATTTTCTCCACCTCACTTGAGACTGTAGTTCAAGTCAACTTTCATTTGTGCGCTTTTCATGAAGTGAAATGCAATTAATGGAAATGAAGTGGGAAAAAATAAGGAACTTGACCGTCATTTACAGCTCTGCCATACATCTATTATATGAAATGATTCTTTCCAGCTGATATTGGTCACTTTCATCCGCTGTCTGTATGTTTAGGTTAGGTTTAGTTTTGCGGGAATTCTTACAGTCACTGCGTACTCTTAAAATGGTCATGCATATAAATTCAGACTTCATCTCTACCTCTGAAATATAGTGACACGTGTCACGAACTCCAACTATTGAACTGTAGTACAAGTCTAGAAGACTCATCAATTTATATATGCACTGGTAGATTCAACTAGTTGATATGCTTATGTAACTTTACAATGCATAATGCACAACTTCATTTGCACCAGTCCTCCCCCCTAAACTTAGTGCACTTGATCTGAAGATTGTGTGAAAGCTATATTAATTTCTCTAATGTAAAATTTGTTGGCTTTATTTCTATTTTTATAACTTGTGCTAACTTTGTTTCTTCAGTATTATGTTCTAATTTCTTTTTATTATTATTTATGTGTGTTATGTTTCTGTATTCCTTTAATGTAAAGCTTTATATGAAATGAATGTGATTCTGAATCAGATCGCTCTCTGTAACTTCACCTCCAGTGGCGTAGCGAGCATAACTGGCACCCGGGGCAAAATATCTTTTTGACGCCCCCTCCAAAAAAAACCACTTGCAGTAATATAGTGTGTAGAATATATTCGTAATAAGAAAATAATGCAGAGAATAATAAAATGCTGAATCTACCATAAAATACTCTTAAAATAAATTAAGAATAGCCACTACCTAACTACACTAGCATTGGATTCGGAAATGTATCTGTGTCGGCGGAAAAATCAGACATACGATGATCTAAAATTAGTTAAAAAACTGTTATTTATTTTACATATTTTTGGGATTGTTTGTAAAAATTACAGTTTTTAAATAATTGAAAGTTTAATATATATTATAGATAAGTAGATATATTTATTAATAATAATACAATATATTATAATACATTAATACAATTAATTACTATGTATACATTTTTCTTGCCTTGGATGAAGCAAATTTATCAATTACTTCATCAAAGTCTATTCTTTCAAATTTTTCTATTTTCACACTTTAAAAATGCTAGATGACTTAGGGGATCTTGTTCCACCGTTGATTGTAAATATATCAAAATTTATTTTTATTTGCTGAACGAACGTTCATAGCTGGCATTTGATAATGGTGGTGTATTTAATTATGGCTAAGCACGCTAGGGCTATCTGCCTAAGGGGAGGGATGCCTTCGTGAAGGACTTTCTAAGGGAAATTGGCTCGTATACACGTTACACATGGGAAAAACCACGAAAACACCTATGCAGCCAGCTCGTTCGCGGCATTCGAACCTCGGACCGAACTACCAGTGTTCAGCGACCTTACCGCTCGGCCGCTGGTGGGTCCTGGCATTTGATAATAAAATAGTAAGAAGTATTTGAAGTGTGACTCTTAGGTTTAGAAAAAACATTTTATCCATAGATCTGTAATGGAGTTTTAGGTTCCTTTTTTTCTACTGCGCAGTAACATCTTGCAGTCATATTGACTGCTCAAAACAATTAGGGGATATTGTGGGTTCGGTATGAAATAAGCATATAATCGACAACCTTTTTAACAAAAGGAAATAGAAGAGATTATAAAGGAAAATCATAACAGTTACAAAAAGTTGGGAATATGCAAATTTAGTCTGTGACATCGAAAACTATGCGTTTTAGAATAAGAGGTAAGGAGCGACCTGCAGCATTCCTTTTGTAGTAGGTGATTAAAAACAATTGACTCGCGTTGAATGCTTCATAGTAGTGAATATACGATGTCTCAATAAGATGAGTTGAATCGGTAGCCAGGAAGACAGTCAGTCGTTTACAGAAGAGTCAAACACTATCCATTGTAGTGGAAGCGTTAGGAGTTTCTGAAAATGTCGTTTCTGGAAACTGGATATGTTTGAGAAAATCGGGACAAGGTCGTGTTATCATTTTAAAATAAAAAGCAGGAGATATAATACCTCCGTTTTGGACGTTTGTAGTGGAAGCGTTAGGAGTTTCTGAAAATGTCGTTTCCAGACTATGGGATCGGTTTCTGGAAACTGGATATGTTTGAGAAAATCGGGACAAGGTCGTGTTATCATTTTAAAATAAAAAGCAGGAGATATAATACGTCCGTTTTGTTAAAAAAAAAAAAAAAAAATCTCTTAGAGAAATAAAGTGGTCAGAAAGAACGTTTTATATGCGGAGATATTTTGTTGATGTACTGCAAACATTTTATTACAAATTTTATCAGACAAATCAGGAAAATAAATAACTAATTAGTATATTACAATAATTATTAATTTTAAATATATTTTCCAGAAATCGATCAAAATAAAAACTGAAATTTTCCAGAAAATCTTGTTTGGAGACCATTTGGCGCCCCTTTGCGAGCGGCGCCCAGGGCACCATACACCCCCTTGCCCCCCCCCTCGCTACGCCACTGTTCACCTCTATTGTTTCTTATCAGAGTTTCTATTCAGAATTTACAGTATTACGAAAATATTAATGGTTTTTAACATTTTTATAATTATATTTAATTAGCGTAAATTATTACATAATGTTGCAGGAATATAACTTCTTGGGATGTTACTTATGTACTGTGGTATGAAATATGCTGTAACTGATCTTACCAACACCTTTTAATTTTTTTTGGGGGGGGAGGTTTAGTTTACTACAAAAAATTTTAGTTCAAACAGCTTATCCTATGTAATAAATCTTAAGTTATTCATTGATGTATCTGAGAAATGTTTGTTTTGTTCTTTAAACATGCAAATGATTATATATATGTGTTTTGTAATAACTAAATTTTAAAATATGAAACATATTCTGTAAAAACAAGTGCATTTTATAATTAGTTGTTAAGTACAGGGTTCATACAATCCTTAAGCATCCTTAAAAGTCCTTAAATTTTTTGGAATCGATTTGCGGTTCTTAAAAATCCTTAATTTTGGCCAAAATCAGTAGAAGGTCCTCAGTTTTAATCATCTGAAATTTTTGTCTGTTTTTACGACAGCACTTTAGCATTTTGGAGGAATATTTTTGGCGATTCATTGACGTATATGGTTATCTTTTGAATGGGTTCATGGGTTATAATTTGTTTCTATTTCTAATATTTACTTGTGTTTTATGGGATACTTGAGTTTCTAAGCAAGAAGTGAAACATAAGCATTTCAAAATTCATTTTTCATAATAAAGAGCTGTTAAACAATTTTCACTTTTGGGGATGTGAATTCTTTTATTAAACGGTTCTAAATTTGGCGACTTGTCAACATTTTGGCTATTTTAAGATCAGTTTCTATAGAAAATTTTTAATTCTGAAATCTGAGAATTTTTCGACGATGTTTTTTAAAACATCATAACATTGATAAATTTCATTAAAATAATGGTAATATATTGGAATTATATTTAAAAAATAACATTAAAATAAAACATTTTTATTTTTTGCTGTCATATTATAAAGTTTCATTTTGGCAACTTATTATACAATATTTTGAATCTGAAAAGTAAACAAGGTATAATGCTGTAAAGCATAATTTACGAAACAGCTCTTAGCAAAAAAAAAAAAAAAGTCTTCTTTTTAATTTTTTCATAGTAAGCGTTTTTCCCATGTAATTGTCTCAGAATATTCAAAATTTTCAGAATATGCATAAGTTTTCTCTATAAAATTAATTTTACCTTTTTTCTCTCCTTTTTTTTTTTTCCGAAATACTTCTTGCTTTTTCCTGTTACAGAATTGGTTAATTTCTCTTTAGTATTTTTGACATTGCGGATTGGAAAATTTAGAAGGATCTGAAGGCAAGATTTATAGATCCACGATTCTTGAAGATTCGAGAAATATGTGACAAAATGAAAAGTGTCTCCATGGTATCAACACGTAAGGGATGTATTTTACAGAAAGTTTGCGGTGAATTTCTTACTTTTTGGAGAACATCTGGAAGAACAAAGAAGACATAATATTTGAATGTTTTACTCCTGATACTAGAATCTTTTTCTTAACATGTTTATCTTCCCTTTATTTTCTCTACTTTTCACTTGACACAAGCATTTAAAATATCAAAAATGCTTCTAATCTTATCACTTGGGCAGGCATTTTAGAAAAGGATTTTTTTATTAATAAAGAAATTGAAAGCTTACAATTTAAAAGATCCACCTAATATGTCTTAATGCATCATACACAGACCTGGCACTAGGTATTTTCCCATCTGATGCAATCTCTGTGGATTCTAAATTCGACTGCATAGGACCTTTCTAAATTCTGCTTCCAATGCCTGCTCTAAATTCTAAAAGTTTTGCTATTTCTAGATTTTATTGCTTGGTGTGTCACTAAATTCTAAAAATTCTGCCACACCAGCTCTGTAACTGGTCTGTACCATATATATTTCATATTTCTTCTGAATTTCATATTACTAAAGAAATTAAATTAGTCACCTTTTTCTATACATTCTAAATGCATTTAGAAAAACAGAAATCTTTAATTAAATCCAAAAATTCTAAAATGAAAAGGAAACATGCTGAAGTAAGAAACTGAATACAATTATACTTCAATTATTCTTCAAACATATGTGCAGTTATTATTATGTAAATTACCCAATTGCTTATGATTTCAGCCTTTACTATAATTTTCTGTTTTCTCATATGATAGGGTTACTGAGCCAGATTAAATTAAATTGTATAATCTTTGACCACTAGTTCACATTTTTAGTTTGAATTTGATGTTCTTGTTTAATTACGTCACCGTGATTGACTTTGTTAGCATCAGAACATGCCTTTAAGTTCTAAGTTCTTTCAAATAAGAGGCTTATTTAAACCTTTGTCTGATATTGTAGTTACTTAGTGATAGGCGTAGTGACATAGTGATAATTTGCTTCACATCTATGGCGGGGGTTTGGACTATTTATCTTTTACCAGATCAAGTAAACCCTCATAGGGTCTTGTGAAGTGGTTGGCAAATTAGGAGATAAAGCAGACAGAAACTAGTGAGAGCATTGGTTTGCATATTGAGGCAAATCTCTAATTATTGTTAGAAAAGATGCTTAAAGAGAAGGAAATCGATATAAACTAGCCAAAATGTTTGAGAAGGCTTCAAATGAAAATGGCGGATAAATACTGAGTGTTGTTGTTAGAAAACATAAATGTGGTGTAGCTTTTAATGTGTAATTATTCTAATATCGTTTAAGAATCAGTGTCATAAATTACATGTATTATTGCATAAATTACATGTATTATAACTGTGAAATTTTATTAGCTTTTAATAGGGCTTTTTTAACAAATATTGTTGAAAAATAAAATTTAATAATGACTAAGGTTATCTATTTACCTAATTTAATTATTTATAGCTGCTAACCTTTAAAAATTATCTCTACATATTAAAGCGAGTTATTGCCTTTCATTAATACTCACTGTGGTCACAAGATAAAACACAAAAATGCAAGTAAAATATTCTTTGCATCTAGCGAAGCATAAAATAATACAAAACAACTTATTACCTCTGGTGCTTGAATGGCTTATTGGAACCTGAATGTATATTAACTGTGTTACAACCCCTGGAATTCTGCACAAAGCTATGACACTAACTGCATCAAACAGAGCCTAACTAACTTTCAACACTTGCTAACTGTTCCTACATCAGGCCTTTTAAGTTTGTTCTAATCAGCAGGTCTCTCTCTAGACAAGCAGCAGTGGTGATAGCATTCAGTCTTTTGTTATGAATCATGCTGATTATGATCTTACTTCTCATTTTAACCTGATATACCGTTTGACATAAAATCTACCTGCTATTTACTAAACCTCTAGACCAGCAGTTCTCAACCTTTTGACTAATGTGTACCATCTAAACAAAAATTGAAAAATTTTAGTACCACCACTACAAAGTACTACTGCCACCACCAATCTTGAACAAAGGTCAGATTGCATAAATTTACGAGTGTTAGAGAAAAAATTCAATCAGGATGTTGGGATTTTAATTTTTGAAATAAATAGTTAAAAATACTTTGCTTCTTTGTGTACCACCTTTTTTTTTTTTTTTTTTTTTTTTTTTTTTTCTTGCATACCACCGGTTGAGAGAACCTTTGCTCTAGACTGATCAAGTATGTGACAAAATGAGAGGGAAAAAAAAAAAAAAAAAAAATCATCAACATACAGCTAATTATTAGTAAAACGTAAATGTCACTTATCTTCTTTCTAATATGTCCAACCTATTATAAGTGTAAAATATTTAATGCTACTTGATAAACTGCATGAACTTTATTTTATTCTCAAACTTATTAATAATTATGTTAATGAATTCATGTTTAGTAATAAAGCATACTACTTAGGAATCTATTTTATTTTTAGGATGGTATTACAAAAGTGAAATTCAGTATTTGAATACCCCATATTTAATTTTTTTTCATTAATGGCCCTTAAAAGTGCTTAATTTTTGCGTGCAGAAATGTGTACGAACCCTGTAAGTAGTGGAGAAACAGCATAAAGTATTGATAAAATATTCTCAATATCAAATGTAAGAAAATTTAATAATAATTTTTTAAAAATCTTAATCTCTATTTTTTTTTAAATCTTAATCTCTATTATCATTGTTACAGGCTTCTATAGAAGGTTTAAATATTCAACTAGATCAGTTCGAAAGTGAAATGGAATCTCTTAGTATAGCCTTAAAAAAGAAAAAAAATGATAAAGAGGTAAGAGTTTTCCTGTGTAATGTTTATAATGTTTTTCTGATTATTCCGAGTGATGTTGAATTCTGAAAATTCTCTTTAAACCACACTCCTTTCTGTATCCAACCTAATATAGCCTTGTTATGTTATATCTGTATCATCTTAACACAGTAAACTCTGAAAAATTTTTCATCCATTCTGATGTAATAACTTATATTGTTTCCTTCCATCTCTTGCCTTTCTGAATAAGAACTGGAAAATTAAGCCACCTGACATGCACTTTGAAGTATTTAGGCATTGGAGTAAAACAGTATGGCAATTTATATTTTAATACTTGGCAGTCCGTAGTTGAGAAAAAAATAAAACATAAAAATAAGCCAGGTGGCTATTCTGTTTTTTCAACAATTGATATTGCACACAGTCAATTGATACTCTAATAAAACTCTCTCCTTCTGCTCATTTAAGCTATTGTGCAAATGTGTAGGCAACATTTTTAGCAAAATTAAGTCCAAAGCCTGACAGATTCTTCAACAAATTAGCGAATTTTGTAGCAGCCTCAGCATTCCAACAATTTTGCTTCATAATTTAGATTAATATCTATAGTTGGTTACTTGACTCAGGTGACAATTAAAAATGCATCATTACCTGAGATCCTGTGCCTTCTTTTGATTGGTTGAATTACATATGACATAGCATTTAGAAAAATACTTAGTGTGGTCAGGTAAAAATGTTGAGGAAAAAAAAAAATGGAACTATCCTTCAAATTGATTCTGTGAGGATAGGACTTCTGAAAATTTTGTGAATTTATTTCATCTTATATTGCCATATCTCGGGTAGCTTTTACACAGACTTTTGCAACTCATTCCAAAATTTTATTCTTGAATGAGACTTAAACATGGCTGTGGCAGAAAATCATGAACATATTTTTTGGTTTCTTTGACCTCAGTCTTCAAAATGCAGTTATCTTGAAATGTTTCATGAGGCTGGCATGCATCGTTGAAGTGAGCAGTTTTTGTTATATAGTAAAAAAGCATTTCTTTCGTGCTGCTTTATATGGCAGTCCAGTCCATGTTGAGAGACTTGCTGAGAGACAATTAAGAGAAATCTGATGTTTTGTAAACAGTTCCTTATTATAAAAGTTTAAATTGGAATAATATTTCCTGTTTAAAATTATAATGTCACTGTGCTGCATGAAAAATTACCATTACTGGATAGAGAATAGAATGAGATAGAGTGCTGTCAGGGTGTTATTGTTTAATTGTCCTTTAGCCTTCCTAGAAAATCTCTTTTAATGGTTCATAGTTATGAAAATGTTGTAATAACAATTAAATAAATCAGAAATCACCAGCGATTGCACAGAAAATGCTGTTGTTGATGGCATACTAAGCAAAGAACTTCTGAGTGAAATGTAAATAGGCCGGTATTGCTAGTAGTGTTGCTGTTTGCATGGACTTGTATAGGCTGTGCTTTCAAATGTGAAAGTTTCAAATATGTTGTTACCATAGATGTGAAGAATCTGAATGTGCTTAGCAAAAATTTGTAAGGCAGCATTAACAATACCATCCTAATCTTAGTGTTCCTAAGCATTTTCAGACTATGTAATCTATTTCTTGAAGCCTATATCTCATGGTAAGAAAATACTTGATTTACTCTCGTAATTACACTGACTTCATCGTTTCAAAATCAAGAGAGTAAAGTTATTAAATGTATTTGATTTCTGAAAAAATTTATAATGAAAGACTTGTGTAGTTAAGAAGCATATATGAATTAGGTGTTCTAAATATTGTTATCAGTTATTTCTTCAGTGCCAGTTTCTTATGAGACATAGGCTAAGACCTAATAATGAATTTTAAAAAGAATTAAAGAAAGGAGAAATATAGAAATTTTCAGTGCTATAATATCTGATTTAACAAAGGGCTGGATATGAGCTGTGAATAAACAGTGGGCTGACACTAAATTGTTACAGTTATTTTGCAGTTTTCAGTTGATGATAGGCATCCTTATCAAAACAGCAAAATGCTTCAAATGGAAAAAGTTCTTTTTTAACTGTTCATATGGACCATGTTTCTAAGGGATGCTGTCTGTTTGAAGTTTTTATTAGTACTTCTTGTATACTATATTTTCCAGGAGTATTGCATTCCATGTTTATTCCATGGAAGAAGTTGATGAATGGCTATGGTTAACATTTTTTAAGGTAAACAAAAACCCTTAGCATGTGCAAAGAACAACAAGCTGAGAAATTCCAAGAACTGTTCATGCTTGTGTATGAATCCACTTTGTGAAGTCGACCTTGAACATTATGCAAATAAGTCAGAAGTTTCTAAACCACATTTTAAAATTGCAGCTAAATACAGTATGTCATATCTGTGATTCCCAAAAGTTGACTGTTCTGTATCATGCTAAAATCTCTTTGTTTGTTAGTAATCTTTTTAAGTAAGGGAGAGAGATGATAATCCATAGGGAACAAGTCTGGAAGGTGTTTGAAAATCACAGAGATGTTGGAGTTCATTTGTTGCATTGTTGAGTATGAAATATTTCATACTCATAATTTTTTATCTCTTATGAGACATGGAAGCATGTGTTACACTGCAAGAGAATGTTTCTGTCAATTAATGCAGGTTACTTGCATTGAAGTGCTTGCTGAATTTCATGCTTGCAGAAGCAATCCACATGGGCTACTTTAAGGCATGATGAATAATTCCAGTTGCAGAATATCTTTGTGTACTTATTTTTCATTACAGGTTGTAATGCAATGTATAAAAGTTTTAGCTTTTTCCTGTTAGCAAGGCAGGAACTGTTAATTTCAGTATAGCATGAATTGCTTATATTTTGAAACAACTCGTGTAACATCCATGTGTCCAATGTGAACCATTTAGGGTGGAAAACAAATATCACTTTATTTAATTTGCAGAGCTTCATTTTGAGTGACTCTTATGCAATTACTTAGGATTAATGATCAAATTAATTTTCCTGTTGTACAAAATTTTAAAAACTTCTGTTGTTAAAACTTTAGCATAGATTAAATTTGGAACTATTGACTAAAACATTATACATATTGAAAATCATATGATTTTCAACCAAAAATTATCAATTTTACTCAAAGTTAAATAAAAATGACATCTTTTACTTCAATTTTTCAGAACTTACTAGGTAAAAACTTGTGATGTATTGATGATGAGCTAATCTATAATCTGAGGATTACAGATTAACTCACCAATAGCTTTAGAAATCCTGAATTATAAAAACAAAACCTATAGAAATATAAAATCTTCCAAAATAAAGGAATATTGCAGGAACAGTATTTGCTATTCCTTTCCCATCACAAATAGTGTAGAGTTTTATCAAACAGCCAAAAATTTGTTCAGGTATTAAATTTTTGATTAAAAAAGGTACCTGTCTGAATGCAGAAATATAAACCATTACACACAATGGCATTTAAATTCTTGAAAATTGATGTTTTAGTTAATGCTTAAAGCACAAAACTAAAGAGCCTATGGAAAGAAAGGATACCTAGCACCTCACATTCACAGTGCTTTACTTTATTTAATAATTAAATGCAGATTTTTCTACTTGTTGCATACAGAATTCCACAAGAAAATACAAGATTTTATCAAGTTTTATTACTCAAGTATCTTGTTAAGTTAAAATTGTTATATTAAGACTTAACAATTATAATGAAAACTTTTTGCCCACAATTGCATGCAAAGTATGCTCCTTTATACAAAATAGTCTAATAATGGTGTGATGTATTGCTTTTTTCATAGTGATCATGTAATACTTCTTAACTACATTTATGTTTGCTAAACATATTCAGTGGCTATGATTTTTTTTTTTTTTTAAATATGACAATTTGTTTATTTTGTAATAGCAGATGTTTGTTTGCTTTTAGAAATACATAGGATCATGTTTTTAAAACATATCATTTTAAGTATAAGTGTATTATACTGAATTTGTGCTTACTAATCATACTTTCTTTCTTTTATGTTATCCCCAACATCATGTGAATGGTTAGACTATATTTATAAATAAAAGCATCCTCAGTCTTAATGTTCCAGACTGTCATCTCAGTCTGTCACTTTAAAAATCTTAATATTTCTTGATAATATTGTTTATTAATTATTATTGTTATTTTGCACTATAAGATGGAAATTTTATGTGGAAAGATGTTCAAAAATGTTATTACAAAATTTCAGTTTCTTTAAAGCTTATAGTAAATATTTTGTTCACCTTATGTATTTACGTCATTTCCGCGTTTTCTTATTTTTTTTTTAAGATGTGCATCACTTTTACTTTTCACCTCAGTCACGTTTTTATGGACTTCAGGAAAAGAAAGAAAAACCATAACTATTTCAGATAATTGTGAAGAAGTCAAAGTTATACTTGCATGTAGTAAATTTGATTTATTATGGATTGCTAGCATATTTATTGTTTTCAATTATCTTTTAAATATAGAAATTAGACAGGACAGAAGAACTTAAAGGGTGGTTAGAAAAACATAGGTATCATATAAAACAACTAGAAACGCTGATGAGGATGCTTGACAATAGTACTGTTGACGTTGATCAGATTAAAAAAATAAAAGATGATGTTGAGTATTACATCGAAAGTTCTCAGGATCCTGATTTTGAGGAAAATGAGTTTATATATGAAGATCTTGAGTTAGAAGATATGCAGGAATTTCTTTCAAAAGCAAGGCTCTGTAGTAAGTAATTTAATTTCAGCATTCTAAATTGTGCTAATTTTTAATTTGTAACGTAAATAGGTGTATTTAGAAGTTTAAAAGAAAATTTCAACAAACTGTAATGCATAAACTTTTCCATACTAAGCCAGTGGTTCTTAAACCTTTGTAGTGATCATGATTCTTTCTATAAATAATATTTCTTTCTATAATAGCTTTCTTTCTGTTTTTATGCTTCTGAAGCAATCCCCCCCCCTTTTTTTAAAAGAGTCTGACATCACTTCCAGTTCAACAATTTCAAATATTTGTTTTATGTGCAAAAGGAATGAAAATCCTGTTTTGCTCAGATAATGGTGGCAAATGATAAGAGTATCTGCAATGCTGTATAAGGAATAAGAAGGAGTGGATACTATACACTAACATTTCTCAGGAATATGTTATAAATCTCCTTTTAGTGAGTGCATCAGTTCATGAAATAGAATTCAAGCACGATTTCAGTTTTCTTAAATCCGAATACAGTAAAAGAAATAACGTTAAATTTTTCTTGACTAGATCAGCTAGAATGAGAACAAATAAAATAATTGAATTTCTTTAAGTGAATGAGGTAAAATATCACAAACCACAAGATTTATGAACAGCTCTTCAGAATTTGTTGCATGTGTTAAATACCATAGGATTGCAACAATACCCATCAGAAACATTTCTGAGAAAATATGACTCAACTTTTGAGTTCTCATCATTCAAAGAGGCAAGCATAACAGGTATATGCTCCACTTTTAAGAATGAAAGAAAAGCAGGAAGCATGTTTGCTGTTCTTGTTGGTGTTGTACACTTTGGGTTTAGAGTGATACATTTCATGACTTCCTTTTTTGTTAATATTTTAACTGTCTTTTTTTCTTTTTTTAATTTTTATATTTCTCCCGTCTTTAACTTTAGAGTGCAGATTGAGGAAACTTTATTTGCATCCTAACTTTATTCTAAACATTGTCCCAGCTGTCTAGCATATGATAATTTCTCGCAGCTAGTCAGATGGTAGTTCCCACAGAATAAATAGAAACTTCTTCCATACCCTTGGAAATGCTTTCTCACACACCTCAGGTTAAGAACCACTGTGCCAAGGCATATATAATCATCAGTTGACTGTTTTAAAAAAAAATATTTATGTACAGTACAAAGTCTGAAATCTATGTGTGCAGTATGCAGAATGATTTAAAAACTGGATCTTTGAGCAAGCAACCTTGCATTTGATATTTTTTCTTAATAAAACTTGGAGAATCTTAATCCTTAACCCTCTGAGCGCCATGATCGGCTTTATCCGGTCATGAGAATTTTTGTCACTTGTTATATATTAGCTTATAATTTAAGATATTTTGCTTTCTTACTTTCATTAATAATATAAATACCATCTTGATGAATATGCGTTTATGAAAATAGATACTAAAATAGGTAAATATACAAATTTAGTTAATAAAGGCTGTTTAAATGTAGGTCTTCATGACAGATCCAAAAACCCAGGCTACTCAGAGGGTTAATTTTATTTTGGTACTAAATAAAATACCTCCATATTGAAGAAACAATTTATTAGCATAAATTTATGTTATCAATAATTTGGCTCTGTAGCCTTCGTTTTGCTTGGCATGCGTTCTCAAACGGAAACAATGTTGATTTTACATCTATTGAATAATTTATACGCTTGATGCCAACATAGCGAATCATTATTTATTACATTTTGCTTTCATCCCTTCATAGCTGCCAACACATGGTAGCTTTTAAAAAAAATTCTTTTTAATATTAATTAATGAATACCAAAGAGCAAGGTAACCTTTTATGTTGACATCATGCTTGACAATGATTACAGACTTGAGCGAACTTCTTTGCAAAGTGTTAAATGTGTTGACAAGGAGAAATTTAATAGAAAATTTTTTTCAATATACTAAACTTGCATAATATATATAAGTTCTGTTTGAATTGAGAATAACTGATTTTGTTATTCAGGTAAGCCCGAAACTGGTGTAGCTGCACCAGGTAGCAGAATTTAGGGAAGGCAAATTTTTTAGAATTTAAAAAAACACCAAGCAACAAAATTAAGAGATGTTGCATGGCAAACAAAATCTTTAGAGTTTAGGACCCACAAAGACTGCACCGGGCCACTAAATGTCCAGCACATGCCCTGAATAAACTGTATGTTTGAATTTATTTATTCGGGACTGAGATAAGCTGAAACGTGTGCAGGAAGTTGATGTGAATATAATAAATAACTAATCTAATATAATTAGGCTTAACTTCATCAAAATGCGATCATGAAAAAATTTAGCAGAACTACATATTTTTACCCACCAATATCATGATCATTGCCAATAGTGTGTAGTAAAAGCTAGCTAAGTTTTATGATGATAGCTACAAATTTGAAGTTTTCAAATATTGCAAACAAAAAGCATCATTTTCCAATTAATAGAACTTCCGGAGAAGTGGTAATAACTGAAGATGATAAAACAGAAGATTTTCCATTGTGATGGCAGTGCCCCAATCATCAGTTAACTAATGGATAGCAAAATTTCTAATATGGTTCTAAACCCAGAGAATATCACTACTGATAGTGAAGAAAGCGACAGAAAGTGTGAAAGAAAGTGACAGAAAGCCTTGTTGAGAAAGAAAGCATTTCGATCGACAATTTAGTGGGAATTCTCGACACAGCAATTACAGTACTTGAACAATGGAATTTTGTAATTGAACAAGAAATTATGCCTATCTATAGAATTAAGGAGAAAGTGTTAACTCACCAAAAAAAGCAACTTAAATAATTTACATTGAAAAAAAAATGTTTTATCATGATAGACCTATTGCCATTGTCAACTACACTGGTTATCATTAATTAAGGAAAAGTCACAAAAATGAAGGTTACTCAAAAAGTTACATGTAGAATTTAATGAAACTGGACCACAATGTACAATGCATAGTAAGGTATAAACTAATATGAAAAGAAATTAGCACTCAGTTGTGGGGTTATAGAAATTAGCATATGTATAAAAATGAACAAACCAGATGTGTCAGAGTTTGGTATAGGAAAATTACCTTCGATATGGAGTATGATCTCCCCTAGAAGCAATATAACACATACAATGATATGTAATGCTGTTAATTATGCAGTCTATCAATTCTGTAAGAAATAAAAGCCATTGCTCTTGCAAAGCAGTTGCAAGCATAGGAAGGGTCTAAAGAGGAGGATTGAAAGCAGCTATACATCTTCCTAAAGCATCCCAAACATGCTCGATGGTCTTTAGGTCTGGTGATTGAGCTGGTGATTCCATGCACTGAATTCTTTGCTGCTGAAGATAATCATCTACAATGCGAGCCCTATGTGCTCTAGTGTTGTCATCCTGTAGCAGGAAATCATCACCTATTAGCCCGCCATAAGGGGTGCACATAAGCATTAATGATGTCATCTCTGTAGGCTTGAGCATTCATGGTTCCACGTGGAAAGACATGGAGGTTTGTGCTTCTACCCAAAGACACCACCCCAAACGCAGACGCTACTTCCTCCGTATGCATCTCTTTTACAGATGTTTGTTCGATGATAATGGGTTCCAGATTCTCTCTGAATCAAATAACGGATACTATCGCTTTGGATGCTACACCCATGAGATATTTTTTTAATAAAAATCAAAATCTTAATGTATTTGTTTCGAATGGAACAGAAAAGGGGAAAAATAAGAATTAATGACTATTCTGTAATGGAGAATGCTCTAATACTGTAGCTGTCAATCTTCTTTACTCCATTATCCATTGTTAATCATGTTTTAGAATATTTTGATGGTTATCTGTAATCTTAAAGATTGTGATATTTAAGTAATGTGTATTATTTATATATTTGTTACTATTTAAATTATTATTTTATAAATACAGTCAAAAGTCGTTAATCCGGACTCGTCGAGACTTCGTCGATTCCGGATTATCGATTTTTCCGGATTATAGATCATCAGTTTAAATCTAGTAAGATGGCATGCAGAAATTACAAAAGTAAAAATATGAAACCGTAATTTATGAAATAAAGAACAATTATGATCTAAAGGGTATCAAAATTTACAAAAAGAAAAAGCTTAATATTTATTTGTTTACTTTATTAAACATTTCCTTCAATGTAAGTTGCTTCGTTTCATGTGATAATACTTTCTCTTTAATTCTATTAAACAGACATAATTTCTTGTTTATTTACAAAGTTCCGCTGTTCAAGTCCTATAATTGCTGTTTTGAGAATACCGACTAATTTGTCAATCGAAATTTTTTCGTTTTCAATAACCTTTGGGTTACTTTCTCACTATCGGAAGCGAACGAGGAACTTGATTTAAATCATATCAAAGACGGAGTACATCAAGATGAAATACTACACTTAGTTCTGCCCTGAAGATAAGGATAGTGCTGACAGATCAACTTCCAATCCGCGGTGTGAAATTGATAAACAGATTTCGGATTTCAAAACATACTTTCGCTTTGTAGGTACAAATTACATATTAGTAAATATATATCGGAAATTCTATTTGACATAATCGAAAGTTCAAGCTTACTTTTATAAAATTGCTCTAACAGTCTGCAAAAAATAATAAGCCGGATCCAATTCGAAGATTAAGGAACAACGCAATCTGCAACATTAACTGAATTAGATAACTTTAGCTTAGCGTATAACTCCGTTACACATTAAACGCGCATGCGCACAAACATATTTGCAGCCGTAAGGGTCTTACGCGCTCTCGTAAATGCCTGTGCACATGCGTGAACGCGACGCATGCGCAGAAAGTTTGTAGCTTTGAGGTCCGGATTATAGATCATTCCGGATTATGGGTGTCCGAATTAACGAATTTTGACTGTATAAATAAAGGAATGTTTTCTTTATTTCACTATGCTTACGTGATGCTTATAGTTAACTTTTTTAACAACACTGCAGTCAGTCTTTGCTGTTTTACAGTTTGAGTGTCATACCACACTCAGTACCACAGATTCTGTTTGAGGTCAAGCATCCACACACATAGTGATTGCTTTAACAGAAGTAAAATTGTCTTATGATATAGAATTCTGGACACATCAATGGTAATCAGCACGGTCTTAATGCATAGACCCGCTGGGCACTAACTGTAATGCCTTATACTAATCCATTTATGTTTGATTTCTATGAGTAGCAGGGGCAACAGCATTCTGGTTGAGAGGCTCATAATGCTGTTAAGATGGCACTAATGGTAATACTGGTATAATAATTTCAGACTTTGTGTTTTTTGTACAACAGATAAAATACAATATCCCAGAACATAATTTATGTTGGTCATAAAATTTTTGCTGATGTTAATTTGGTTTTTATCCTCTTCATTCCCTTATAGGTGATGATGAAAGTTCTCAACGATCTAATTCGCCAACGTCTACAAATTCCAGTTCTCCAGCTCCTAGTCCAGGTTTAACAAATCATTCCAAGTCAAATAATGAAGTAAGCATTTTGCAGTTTGTGTAGTTACAAGTATCTGGTTGGTTTTTTCTGTGCTTTTAATGGGTATATGTGTGATTTTTTATTTAATGCAGGATTAGGAATTCCAAGAAACCTTTTAAAAATTCATAAACTGTGTGACCAACAACAAATTTTATTATACTGAAATAGAGGGAAAATAATCTTCTCTGCTGTCACTTACACATATTTTACCTATATTCATATGATCACTTTAATTGATGTGGAACACATTTGTATGCTAATCTATTTTGTCCTAAACACATGCGTATGTATCGAAATCTGTCATGATCACAGCATTAGTAAAATGATTGTGAAGATTATCAGAGATTGGAGACATAAAGTACAAACTGCTACAAGAAAATAACACGTGGGATTAAATCCAAAGGCCAAGTGGCCATGGCATTATGGTGTCATTTAGTTTTCCCCTTACACCTTGATGTTAAATTGTGATTGAGATGATTCAGAAAATGAATTAAAACTCTATGGCGGTGAGCAGAACAGCTGTTGATGCAGAAATGTGTGCTCTACAAGTGAAAGATATAAATATATATAAGAAAAGAAAAAGATGCTTTTACTTTGTTTCAGTACAATAAATTTGGTATTAATTGTGTAGTTTACTTGTTATAAATTTATTTAATGTTTCACAGAATCATGTGATACCTGTATGATTGGGTTTGTGTAAAAATTTGTTTATATTGTTTAAATGTTATTTATTTTTTAAAATATGAAATTTAAAAAACTTATTTAATAGAATTACTCTCCATTGTCTGTGTATCTTGCCTGTGTGTTAACTGTTAAAATGAAAACTAAGATTGTGATGATCAGCCTGTCTTAAGGACTTTCTAATTCAATGCATCTTTTGTGTACCCACAGGTTTTTTTTTTTTTTTTTTTTTCTCCCCCAGGGGGGTTAATTCAGTAATTCAGATATAATCATAAAGATGAGTTTTGGTGAGTTCTAGTTCAGAGTTTGAAAATCTGATTCAGTGTTCAGCATACTGAATCTAAGTTCTAAAAATTATTTTTGCTGTGCTACATCAGTATTTATGAGTTCATAATTTTGTAGCAGTATAGAAAAAATATTTTTTAAAAAATCTTATTTGTGTACTTTTCGCTCTTATTGACTATTACTGATAAAATGGGTCTTTACAAGCCTTGGAGTACTACTAAATATTTTTTTTCAAGTGACTTTTCAGTAATGAAAAAAACTGAAACCTCTGTGGGTGTTTTTTTTAATAAATAAATTTTATGTTGTCAGAGTTCAGATTTGAAGGGGATACATGCAATTTATAAATGAGTTGAAGGTAAAGGAGAGAGAGAGGAGTTATGAAATTGAAGTGAAAATTGATAAGATAAACATGTTTAAACCATTAATTTTGTAGTTTGAAATTGCTTTGATTTTCTTTTATTTTATATAGTAATGACATTCAAATATCGCATTTTCAGGAAATTTCCACTCCTCCTATAAAACCTGTTGCAGTTAGGGCACAATCATCAGGATCTCTGTTAAGTACAGTACAAAATAATAAAGGAGCTCTTCCATGTGTGTCAAGAAATAACAGGTATTACCATATGAACGTGGCAGTTGTGGTATTTTGATTCTAAAGAAATAAAAATTATATAGACATTTTTTGAAAAATAAAAGCTTATTTTAGGTTAAATTTTTTTCTGATGTGAACTTAAGTAACCTGGGCAATGACAAGCGTAACAGAATATATATATATATATGTTAAATATATGTAAATTATATATATATAAATGTAATTACAGTCAAAAGTCGTTAATCCGGAATAATCTATAATCCGTATCTCAAAGCTACAAACTTTCTGTGCATGCGTCAACGCATAATGCGTTCACGCATGTGCGTAATACTTTTACGCGTGCGCATAATATGTTTACGCATGCGCGTTTAATGTATAACGGACAGTATAAGCTAAGCTAAAATTATCTAATTATCTCTTTCAGTTAATGTTGGAGATTGCATTGTTCCTTAACCCCTTCGCGCCGACTGTCACGTATACGTGCCAGCAACGAACACACTTATCTACCGGCTGACACACAGGTGTGCCAGAGCATTGTGGCGTTCTCTACCTACTGTCACGTATTTGTGCCAGCACTTTGGAATGTTATATCAAACTATAATTTCTGCCACAAGATGGCATTGTATGTCTGTATGGTTTCAGATACATGTACATTAGACTTTCTACTCGAAATGAGAGAAGCATGACTCACATACACGTGTTAGCGTTGAGTATTTCCGTTTACAGTTCAGTTTTTAGAAAATAATTAGATCTTGTTAGACGTGAATTCTTTCTGTTTTTACCGTTTCAATGTCGAAGCGTCGAAAATGTTTAACAGAGCATGAAATAGCAGAAATGATGCAAAATATTTCAGATATTGATTCTGAAATTCTGATATTGATTCTGAAAGATTAACTGAAAGACATTTTCCAAAACTTTGTTCAGAAGAGACTGATAAGAAAATGAGACGACGATGCTTCGTTTGTTCACATTCCCGGAAAAAACCCTCCAAAACGGCAAATGAGTTATTACGAGTTCAAGGAATGTAACGTAGGACTATGTGTAGATCCCTGTTTTAAAATTTTTCATACGAAAAGAGAATTTTAAGTAATATATTTAGTTTTCAGATGTATAATGTTTAAAAGTCATAAAATGGTGAGTAATTAAAATAAAATGTGTAAAAATGCATTCATAAAACAAGAACTAAGGTAATTAAAGTAAATATATAAAAAATAAATCTATAAAGCATAAGCCGTTAAAGAAAAATAAGCTCTATAGAGCATTATTAAACAATGCGTTTTTTCGGAAATTTCATGGATTTAGGCTTAGTAGCAAGAAGCCCCCGGCCCCTGGACCCGGGAACAACCGCCCATGCCGAGACATGAGCGTTTTACGCATTAAAACCCCGCTGATATTTCGGAAACGGGGATTAGTAGCAAGAAAGCGCGGACAATAGACGGGTAATAAGCCGAAAAAGGGGTTAATCTTCAAATTGGGTCCGTGTTATTATTTTTGAGTTAGAGTTTTTTATAAAAGTAAGCTTGAACTTTCGATTATGTCAAATAGAATTTCCGAGAAAGTATGTTTCGATGTCCATCAAACAAAAAGTGGAATTGCTGCAAAAAATGGATAAAAGCATATCCTTTGTTTCTCTAACCATTCCGAAATCTGTTTATCAATTTCATGCTGCTCCGCGGGGGGGGGGGAAGTCGCACGCGCAATGAATTGGGAGTTGATCTGTCAGCACTAACCTTATCTTTAGGGCAGATGTTTTTATTTTATTTGGCTTATAATTCCTTACTAAATATAGTATTTCATCTCTATGTACTCCGTCTTTGATATTATTTAAATCAAATTCCTCGTCATTATAATTTGCTTCCGATAGTGAAGAAAGTGACGCAGAGGTTATTGAAAACAAAAAAATTTCGATTGACAAATTAGTTGATATTCTCAACACAGCAATTATAGGACTTGAGCAGCGAAACTCTGTAACTGAATAAGAAATTATGTCTGTTTATAGAATTAAAGAGAAAGTATTATCACATAAAACGAAGCAACTTAAACAACTTACATTGAAAGAAATGTTTAATAAAGTAAACAAATAAATATTAAGCTTTCTTTTTGTAAATTTTGATACCGTTTAGATCATAATTGTTCTTTATTTCATAAATTACTGTTTCATATTTTCAATTTTATAATTTCTGCATGTCATCCTACCAGATTTAAACTGATGATCTATAATCCGGAATCGCTGAAGTCCCGACGAGTCCGGATTAAGGTTTTTTGACTGTATATATATGTAAAATAATAATGTTTAAAATAATGTCATTGTTGAAAATTGTGAAGGTAAAATCATTAATTTAAATAAGTGTTTCATTTATATATTAATAGAATATGAAAGTGATTGCAGGATGCCATCTTTTATTTGGTAACTCTAAAACTCCACATTTTATTTGTATAGTCAAAAGTCTTTAATCCAGACGTCCATAATCCGAACCTCAAAGCTACAAACTTTCTGATGCGTTTACGCATGCGCATATGTGTTTGTGCGTGCGCATAATACGTTTACGCATGCGCGTTTAATGTATAACGGACGGTATAACCTAAGCTAAAATTATCTAATTATCTATTTCAGTTAATGTTGCTGATTGCGTTGTTCTTTATCTTCGAATTGGATTCGGCTTATTATTTTTTGCAAACTGTTAGAACAATTTTATAAAAAGTAAGCTTGAACTTTCGATTATGTCAAAAAGAGTTTCCTTCTGGAGCTGCCAAAGCATCTGCAGGAAAGCATGTTTCGATGTCCATTAAACAAAAAGTGGAACTGCTGCAAAAAATGGATAAAGACATGAAGAAAGTGACAGAGAGGTGATTTGTTTTTTTAACCATTCCGAAATCTGTTTATCAATTTCACGCTGCTCTGTGGTGAAGGGACGTCGCGACGGGCAATGAACTGGCAGTTGATCTGTCAGCACTATCTAATTAATCTTCAGGACGGATGTTTTTATTTTATTCGGCTTATAATTCTTCACTAAATGTAGTGTTTCACTAAATGTAGTTTTCATCTTGATGTACTATTATATAATTTAAATCAATTTCCTCATCATTATAAATATCACGAATACGCATCAGTTTTCTGGTTGCAATTTTCTAATTTTGACTATGTGTAATGTATGCTTTACGCATGTGCGTGTTGAAAGAAATGTTTAATAAAGTAAACAAATAAATATTAAGCTTTTTTTTTTAATTTTGATAACATTTAGATCATAATTGCTCTTTATTTAATAAATCACAGTTTCATATTTTTAATTTTATAATTTCTGCATGCCATCTTACCAGATTTAAACTGATGATATATAATCCAGAAAAACCGATAATCCGGAATCGCCGAAGTCCCGACGAGTCCAGATTAAAGACTTTTGACTGTATTTGTTTAAACTTTTTGGAGGACAGGGCTAGAATTTGGCTACCAGTATGATGTTGAATAAATAAATTTTATTTGGTTATATCATGTGTGTTTATTTATTGTAATCATTGTGTGTATACATATATACGAATAATATCAACAATATTTTTGTATGATACTTTCGTATTATTGCAGCCACCTTGGCACAGTTTGGCGATTTTTTTTTTAAAGAAAATTGGTAATTTCAAATCGTAGAAAGTTATTTGTTTCATATTGTCCATGTTTTTATTTTAGTTCACTATTTATCCCAGAAAACAATTTGTTAAACTGCTTGCAACTGGTATCTCCTGCATATAATTATTCTGGTCTACCACTGTCTTACCATCCATTTCTAACTTTGTAGAGACATTAGGTATTTTGGAAGCGGGAAGGATGAAAAATATGCAACGACTTTGCCAAGAATCGAACTGCGGACCTCTCAATTACATGCTAAGTGTGCAGACCACTGTACCACAAAGCCTCGCTAAGAAGGCTAACATTTGTTAATTCTTACTGCAGTAGTATATAAATCTGACTGCTATAGTAGATGGTAGACAACTGTTCTCGAACCAAATATCGCGTTTTATGCTGACGTGTTCATTACACTTTTTCATGTTACATTTCCAAAAAAGATTGTTTTCCAAATTACATCATCATAAAATGTGAATCTGAATATTCCTGCCTTTGTGGTAAAATATTACATTTCTGCAAAAATTTCACAGCACTTTCTTCATTTGCAGGCAAATCGTAAAAGCACATATTTTGAAATTCTGCTAAACTAAACTAAATGCAGCCCTAGTGGCCCAAGGCCAGCAGTGCCCCAAAATCTGCTTTCTTGACCATGGGCCCCAGGATGCGTAAGCATATGCCCTGAACAAGTGGTCAGCTTGTCACAGGCCCTCAGTGTTTAGTCCTCAAGCGAACTTGGTCCTCATTTTATCGACCCAAAGGATGGAAATCAAGGTATGAAAGGCTGAGTCGACCGTGCCCAGCCCAGGGATCGAACCCTGAACCTGTGGTGCTGTTGCACGATGCACTAGCCACTGTGCCACTGGACCTCTTGAAATTCAGTTGAATACCAAAAATATCACAGTTTGCCTTTAGAGCTTCTAATATAACCAAAACAGGATGTACGAAAATGTGCAACAGTTTGGCGATTTCTGGAAATGTGGCGTCTTCTACTACCAAGGTGGTTGTTGTAATATCAAAGGACCTTTTATATTTATATATTTTAATCATGGCTTGTTTTTAATGTAACGTTAATGCATCCCTTGTATGAATATGTAGTCTGATTCTTTGTAACGAGTGTTGGTATTGACTCGAAGAGTAATTAATGTTTGGTTTAATTTTCAATAATTATTATTTTGCATTATAGCAATATTATTACATGGGAAAATAGTCAAAAATGCTGTTGTAGTAGTCCAGTTTCTTTGAAGTCTGAAGTAAACATTGCTTTATATAAGTAAAATTATTTACAAAACTTCCTTTTTGGCATTGTTTTTCTCTTATGTATAAATATCCTTGTCTTTTTTTTTCGGAGGGGGGGGGTTAAGAAAAAAGAAACTGTAAAATATTTCAGATTTTTGTGAGAATGTGAGCTTGCTTGCTTTATTTATCTCTTTACCCTTTGTGCCCAGTTTGGGCACACCTAAAAATTTCCTTCTGTACACACATTAAAATTGAATGAAAATAGATTTATAGATTACTTTGAACCTTCTTTATTTATAGTAGATGGCAGCCCAAGACAAACCAGTCCATATATTTTAGCCATGCTTAGTTTTTAAAGACCCTCATTTTTCAAAGAAATCTTCCAGATTTTTTTGGGATATAAATGGAATTGTTTGAAAAGAAATTTCTATGTTATTTTCTTGGCTGTATGCTAATCTCCTTATTCTATATTAGTTGTAAAATTTTACCTTGGAATCTTGTATCTTTGTTTCTCTGCAGCTCATCTGTCAGCTCATTAACAACAGAAAGGTGTGTGTACATCTATGTTTCATTTCCTGATTTTCTCTTTCTTCTTTTTAGTCTAAAGGAGCTTTGTCCCTAAAGGAATATTGTTTTCATTTTGCGATTTTGTGTCAATTCACTTCAAACGGTAAATCACTTTTCAAACTGTTGCAAAACAAACATATATATATTTCCCCCCTGAAGGACTATTAATTTCGTTTTGCATTTTGCGTCGAAACTTTTAAAAGGCTGTATCACTTTTCAAATCGTTGCCACCAAAGATTATCGCCCTGTATTATATTTGAAGAAATTGAATAATGAAAAATCTGCATAAATTTATGTATATTTCTCGCATTGTGATAAAAAACGGTACATAGAGCCATCGAAATTTTGAATGACGTAATCCTCCTACGAATATGGGCATGTGGAAGACCAAATTTGAAATTTGGAATTTTTTTTATTATCGATTTCCTATTTTGTGAAACTTTAATGAATTTTTTATAAACAAACTCAAGGATTTCAAAGCGAGCAATGGCAGTGTTGTACAGAAAAAACATTTTTATCTCCAGCACATGATTCTCTGTATTGGAAATTCTAAAGATATGCTCATTTTAAAACTATTTTGCTAGATATTTATTTTTTTCTTTTAATAAAAATTTTTTTCATTGTAAATTTTGTAATCTGTTTATTTTTTTGTGCTTACACGTTCTGTTTAAGTTTATAGATAAACATAGTTTTTTGTTCATTATTCAAATCTTGTAATTGCTTTATCAAAAATTCCTATTAAACTGTCAACTAAAATCTTTTCATTCTGAAAGAAATGAAAAATCTATTTATAACTTTCATCATTGTCAGTAGTGATATTTTCTGGATTTAAAACCATATTACAGATTTTCGCCGTCCATTAGTTGATTAAAGCATTGTCATTGCAATGGAGCAGTTCTGTTATATTATCTTCATATATTATCACTCTACCATATTTTATCATTGATTCAAGGAATTGAAAAATATCACATTCTGTAGCACATTAAAAATTTACTCCAAAATAAGGTTTTGCCTAATTTTCGGATGACACTTTCTTAAGCCAGAATGCCACCAACACTGTTTTCGTTCAATAAAGCTGCTATAGAAGGCAAGTACCTAATATGCTTTCACTGTGCAGATTCTAAAGCTCCAGAATTAGAAAGTCTTTTCAACATAATCAAAATTAAAACTTTTAAGTTTGATCAAGAACTTTAATAATAATAGCCTGCAAAAATAGTAAGCTGGATCAAATTAGTTAAAAAAGAGCCAACTCAACAACAATGTTAACTGAACTGAATTTCTTCCAAATCTAATTCTTTCTGTGTTCTCGCTGTTATGCCAACAAAAGAAAACCAGTATTAATAATATCCCACTTCAAACAAATATATCCCGAGTCTTCGCTTATTGTTTAGATGGTAATATTTTTCTATATTACCCCTCACCTCTATCTCCACAATGACTCAAGGGCTGAAAAGTGTGGTAGCTTCCAACATCAATCATTGTATTATCATTGGGCTATAGCAGTGTGTTCCTCTAACCAGCAAGTGTGTGAAAGTGACATACAGAAATCTCAGCGAGTTAGGATGAAAAAAAAATTTTTTTTTTACGAGACACCTGTTTTTCTGGGAGTAGTACTCTCTACTTCTAAGTTTTGTTGAAAAAGAAAAAAAATTAGCTGATGATACAAATGTCTGGTTTTTTGGTCATTCTGAATTTTAGACTTTGTACTGTATATTTTTTTGTTTAATGAATTTTATCACACCAGATGTGGAGTAGAGTATGTGCAGGTATTTATGTGAATATTAATTACTTATACAGGATATATATTTAAATTATCTTGTTTCCTATTCTAGTAATTCATCTGAAAGCAGTGTAAGTAGCTCACCTCCGTTAAATCATCACAATAGCCATTTTGTTATGTCTCCTGCTCCTCCAACTACTCCATATGCTATTGCAGCGGCTGGAAATTCGTCCTCTACAAAAGGTATTAGTTTCAAAATTTATAATACTTTAAAATGTTAAGTTTCATAGTGTAGTAATTTGATATGGTTTCATAGTTTTATTTTATGTTATCACAATCAAGGAATGGGACAACTAACATTGTATCAGAAAGCGTAAAGCCCAACTGTCAAGTATTTTAACACATCTGCTGCCAGTAAAAATATTTTCATTCTTAGGAGCCAAATTATGAAATAGTGTAGTTTGTTGTTTGAAATTAATATAAAATAGTGTTTCAGTGGTTGAAAAAAAAAGTGTTTCTTATATTTTACTAGTAAAACCAGAAAAAGAGGGAAAATATTTCATTTTCATGTTTAGTGTAATATATTTTCTGGCAATATAGAGCATTAGTCACTCATCGAATTCAACCTATTATCTCTGTGCCACTGACACTGTAGCACATCTAAGAATTCAAAAACTGTGGCTTATGGTCTATTGACATATGACCATAAGCCACAGTTTAAAAAAAAAAAATTAAACATTTAATTGGACAATAAAAAGTCAGAAAAAATATAGAAAATCTTTTCAAATAGCAAGCACAAAATATAAATTATAAATACACATATATCTACATATTGAATGCTCAACTCTAAAGATTATTAAACTTAGCAAATTATAAATAACTTATAATCAGTCTAGTAGGAAAACATGAAAAGAATACAGAAATTATGCACTTATTTGCAAACAAAATGTCATTTATGTAGAAAACGGTATTGCGTTATTATAGTATCACTTATGATATATTTTACAGCAGTTCAAGCAATACCTTAGTTTTTCTGGGCAGTCACAGCACTTACACATGGTATGCTTGTATTTGCCTCGATAGAAAAATTTTTTGTTGTGGCTTTGTAATTTTTGTTCTTTTTATTATTATTTTGGCCAGCTGCAAGTTCTGTATTGTGAGCACTATGTTTGATATTTTTTGGGGTCTTCTTTTGCTCCTTCTTTGACGGCAAAAGTGATTTTATAACTTTCAATCAGTAGACATAAAGTGATATTTACCTTCCAGAATATTTATTATAAAGGGCATGTGAATTGACTGCAGTTACTTTAATAACATAAGAAACAATTTTTTATACTACAATAATTCTTTTCTCTTCGAGTGATAATACAACAGCATTTGATCTTGCCTATCTACACCAGACGTAAGCACATTATAGTTGAATACTGCTAAAGGTGTATTCCATTTCTTTTATTTGAAATTTCAAACATTTCATTTTTGTACTCATAGAATGTAGCATACTTCATGGTTATCTTTCCATTTTCCTATCATATTTCTTTGGCAGTATCACCTTTTCGTAATTAGTAACCATAGTCTTCATCGTTTGTGCTCTGATAATCAGAAAGGGCACTGGGCACTTCTTTCTAATATTTCAGCATCAGTCTTTTTTTTTTTTTTTTTACTTTCCTTTTCTTGCACTGTCTTGCCCATACTTGTACTAGTAACCATTTTTTAAAAAGCACATTAAAGATTTCAAACACAAAATTTGAAAACCAGCTTATAAAGAAAATAATAATAGTGCTTTACTTACGTGTCTAAACAACCTCTTCTTTCATAGCCACGCTAAAAATAAAACATATAATTTATGATGTTGACTGACGTCCCAGAGTGTTGCTGTCATACGAAATAGCACCATTCTGATTTACTAGTGAATCGGTAGTAGTGAACATATTAAAAAGAATAATTTTATAAGAAATCTTTATTTTTATATTAATTTATTCTTAAAATCCCATTATCTGTAACTGATTCGAAATCAGTATGCTCCGTAATTTCATATGTAATTTAATAAAAAAATTTAATTTTGGTAAAATATATATTTTTGCTATCATGTTTTGCAGAAGAGGAGGATTTTGGAGTTGAAGTTCTTTAGTTAGTACATATTTTTAGGGAAGGGGTTTAAATGCTTTTTTAAATAAATTTATTTTATGTTTGGAATTTGAATTTGTAATGGAACTAAAGTTTATTTATTTTAAGAAATGTGACAAAATAAATGTCATTTTGTTTTTCTATCTTATAGTCTCTTAGAGGAAAGAAATACAATTATAATTAATTTTAAAATAAACAGGATCATAATTGGTAATAGAATTTCTATAGTGACAATTACATACTTTTGAATAATTTAGGAACATTTTAAAAATTTAATGTATGTCTTTTTGTAATGATTAAATTTTTAACTCCTATTGTCAAAAAATAAATAAAATAAAACAAAGTACTTTAATGTTTGAATTTTGCAACTTATAGTGAATAAACTCTTAAGTTTCAAAAAAAAAATTTCATACGTTTTAATTAAAGCTATTCTTTAAAATATGAGGATTTAAATTATTTAATTTTTCTTCTTTTAGTAAGAGCATTTATTTGTATATATCTAATCCTTTTTTAAACGTAATGCATGAATGTACAGTTTTTAAACTAACCATTTTATTGATTTTTATTCTTTTAACTTTATATATATCATATATTCTTTCTAAAAGGTGAAGATATTTTTGCATTTATTGTAATTTAAAATGTGTTTTTATATTATGCTATTTATTCTTTCATTATTAATTTTTAAATCTTGTTTCCAACTTCTTAGAGGAAACCTTTCTTACAGCTCATAATTCTTCCGAAAGTAACAACAGTAGCAAACCTTTGACAAACTGTGTTGATTCTCCTCCTACAAATAACAGTTCGGAAAGTAATCCAAATCATATGGACATAAATTCATCTTCTGCGACGAATATGTTTACAACAGCCATCCTAGATCAAATTTCTGGATCAGGATTTTCTCAGCATCAACAGTCACAACAGCAGCAGCAACAACAGCTTCAAAATTTTTCTTCGAGTTCCATTTCGTTGAACAGTAGCGTCCATTACTCTAACTCTTCATCTTCTTGTATGGACAGTGTGATCAAGCCCCCTTCAGCGGCCGGTGTGACTACGTCCGCTGTCACATGTTCCTCTGCGGCCAATAGTGCATTGTATAGTGCAGCAGCTGCTACGGGTTCTTCTACTGGACGTAATAGTTCAGTACAGCCTCAGAACAGTCCCCCAAGCTCTTCTTGTAATGTGATAGGAAGTAATGTGTCACAGTCAACAGTTAACTGTTTTCTCATGAATGGACCCGTATCACCAAAAGTATCAAGTCAAATATACAACTTACCATCTCTAACAGGAGTGGTAAGCAGATTTATATTAGAGCACTTCATTTCTGCTCATTTGATGCAATTCTGTACTTTCATATTTTACATTTCAAAGCAAAAAAAAAAAAGTCATCTATGTGACTAAAGTTATCCTTTGACATTCATTTACTTATATTCTCCTAAGTTATGAATTGTAGCATTATCTTTTTACGAATTACGTATCTTAGTTTTATGGTATTTACTTGCATATTTTGCTCATACTTTTTTCAGCCTGATATATAGTAACCATGTGAAATATATTCACAAATAGGGAAGTATCTTGTGTAAATAAAAAGAAGATTATTAAAATTGATAAGTACTTCAAAATATTTATTATAATAATATTTCTGTGTCTTTATGTGCGCTTAATGTACACCTTGCACAAAAAAAAGGGAGACAGTTCTATATCTCCCGTTCTACCAGACTGATTATCAAAATGGGAACTACTCTTATATGTGCCCTCAGGTTGGCAAATGCGACGACAAATTTCTCGCCAAACATTTTTGGTGAAAAACTCCATGCCGTGATATTATTACCTAAATTTTTTTCTACATTTCGAACTTTTAGTCTAAAATGTCTGCAAAAACCACGTTTTCAACACACAATTTAAGCTAAAAATCTGAAACAAAAATTTAGATATCAAAAACATAAAGTTTCTAACCAGACATATTTGACAACAATCCATGTACACAGTGATATGTTTTAACTTTAAAAAAATCACGAAATTGCACAATCCATGCAGCGAAGTAATCTACGAACTACGCACACCTAGCTTAAATAAATTAACACAACAAAAATTAATTTCAAAGAATACCATGTACACAGCTTTCTGTTTAAACTTTGAAAAAAAAAAAATCTACGAATTGGCAGCGAAGGGATCTACGAACAATGATTCCATCGTCGTCCATCTAGGCAGCAAAGGAATCTACGAACTACGATTCCATCGTCGTCCATCTAGGCAGCGAAGGAATCTATGAACTACGCATACCTCGCTTTAATAAATTAATATAACAACAGAACAACGATGGAAAAATATATAAACCACCAAATAAAACTCCAAATCGCATTTCCGATTATAAGTCAACAACATCGCTTTAACATGCTGCCACATAATCTATATCGTATTTATATGACAGCCACACTCACTATCCACAAAACCTTCTTCTCCTAAATACTTGTAGAGTTTCCAGCCACCCGAAAAAATAGTTGTACGAGGCACACGACTAAAATTTTGCCAACACGTCATAAATCACTTAATTATCATGCAAACCAACTAGCAAATCCAAGTTTCCATGTAAAAAGGGTTGCCATAGAAAACAACAACGCCCCCAAAACCATCGCAGAACAGAACACACAATTGCACGAAAAACCAGCGCACAACACATATCACCACATTTGGCAACCTTAGGGCGCATATAAGTGTAGAGCCTCGAAATGTAGCTTCCGTTTTCCATGTCTTGAAAGCGCGACTTCGGAGATGTATTAGATTTATATATATAGCAGTGTTCTAACGTAAGTGTTTTGACAAAATATCATACTTTTTCTTTGAAATAACATACCAATTTTTTTTCCATGTTTCAAATCTGCGTCTCAAATTATGCCAAAGTGCCAAGTTTTGTAAAAATTGCATGAGCGGTTTTTAAAAAATTAACTCTGAAGATTTTAGCCTCTTCTTGTTGATTGAATTCGGTATATATTATTATCTCTTTTTTTAATTAAACTTACTTGATTCTTCCTTTCACGTTTCGAAATTTAGGCTCATTCCAAATAAAATTCTCCTATTTTTTATGATTTATTTTTAAATTTTTTTAAAAAATAATTTTTATAAATTTTTCAAAGAAAATTTTGAATTAGAACCTATAAAATTTTTACCTCGTCTTAAAGTAGATGTGTTTGTAAGCATACTTATAAAGAATTAGTTTTTTATTAAAAATTTCCTAAGATATATGTGAATTTACGTAATGGCACGTTTTGGAATTTGGCATATTTTGTTATAATCAATAATAATGCCAAATGTGGCTTGCACACTTTATTACAATTATTTGAAAGTATGAACAGTGACCTTTTTTTCATTCATGTACAATGTAAAAAAAAGAAAGGAAAATAGGTTGTTATGAATTAAAACATTCGTCATCAAGTAAATTATTCTTAGCACAAACTGAAAAAAAAAAAATGTGCCAAGATAAATGTTTTAATTTCTCCATAAATTTCTTACCAAAAATTACAAAATATAATATCTAGGCATAGTTTGAGTCGTAGAATCGAAATATGGAAAACAATTGGTATGTTATTTCAGAAAATGTCCAATTTTATGTCAAAATACCTATGTTAGAATAATGATATATATAACTCTAATATACAAGGTGTGACACACACACACAAAAAAAAAGGAGACAGGCTCAATAAATCGTACTTACAGAATCAGTTCTCCGTGACATTATCCTCTTCAGAGTAGGTCCCTTCAGCATTCACACACTTCTGCATTTGGTGTTGCCATTGCTGGTAACAGTTCTGGAATGAGGTTTTTGGAATACCTTTCAGGAGATTCAATGTTTTTGCCTGAGCTTCTTCACCTGAGATACAGTGGGTTCCCTTTAAGTTCAGATTTAACTTTAGGAAATAAAAAAAAAGTCGCATGGAGCCAAATTAGGTGAATAAGGATAATCCCTCATCACAGTAATGTTTTTGCTGGTCAGAAACTGCTTGACAGATAGGGCTGTGTGAGCAAATGCATTGTCCTGGTGCAACAGCCATCCACCACTCCACAACTGTGGCCTTTTTTTTTCCTAATTTTTTCACAAAGTCCTTTTAGTACTTCAATGTAGTAGTGTTGATTAACAATCTGACTACTGGGAACCCATTTAATCATGATGAGCACATTCATTATCTTCGACACTGTCCCTTCCTTCTGAAAACCGCTTATGTCATTCAAACACATGTGCATGAGACAAAGTTTCATCTCCATCTTTTTAAGCCTTGGTTAACATTTGAAATATTTCCTCTGTGGCTGATTTCTTAAGTTTGACAAGAAACTTGATGTTGATTCGCTGTTCGGTTTTTACATTAGCCATTTTTCTGGCTGAATGCAGTTGCACGTGTTCACTCAATGACACAGCACTCCCCACTGGCATGGTCGGTTAAGTCAAAACTGGCCACATGCCACATGGATAGAGGAGTTGTGTTGCATGATATCATCAAAACAGTTGTTGCCAACTCCACTATCTTTTCAAGCTGCACATGTAGTCTCCTTTTTGTGTGTATGTCACACCTCATATATCCTAAGTCATGCTTTTGAGACATGAAAAACTTAAGTTAAATTTTGACAATTGGTCCAGTTTAGTGGAAGATATAGAACTGCCCCCCTTTTTTTGCACAAGGCGTACCATGCTTATCATTTAAGTCATCTCTTTAGAAGTAGTATAAAGCATGTGGAAAACGGATGGAATGTGTGAGTAAATATGGTATTTAATTTTTGTGAAATTTGCTTTGTTCTCAAGTTTTACTCAGACTAATATCTTCAATTTACATTTTAGTATACTCTTATTAAAATCTTGAAGCTATAGTTTATTAAATCATGCAATAAAAATTCAGTTTTTTAATAATATATATGAAGTAATTTGTTAGATTTCCTTAAATATCTCTCTTTCGATATTTGATTTATCAGTTTCATTAATTTATTACTGATAACTTCAGTTTCCTGGACTATTTATTTATATTGTTAGCCGGAATTATTTTTTGTTGTTGGAATGCGTAATGTGAATTGGTTTAAGGTTAAGCCCCCTTTAATTGATTCATAATTTTTGGCATTTAATAAGTGCCGTTGAGTAATTTGATTTTAAATTCCGCAGCAGTTTTTTCTTAATCTTTATTTCATATTTCTGTTGATATGGGTTTAAAAACTGTTTGCGAGTATTAAGATATAATATTTATAGAATTTACATTTGTTTTAATTTAGTCCTGGATTGTCTGGTGGTTAGCAGAGTCTAACTGCTGGTCTGAACTCCAGGATGAAATTTTGTATCCCGCACAGTAGTTGTTTTTATATGTTTTTCTCCCATTCCTTCTTGTGTGTAGATTTTATCTTGTGGAGGTGTAGCTGTCAGTGATAAAATGGCTATATAGCAAATAGTTCAGCCCTTCTTGACAAATGCGATCAATTACAAACATCTCGCTATTTGGTTTAAAAAATGCTTTGGGCAATAAATACAACCTAAATTTATGAGGCTCTTTTCAAAAAATTGTTTTATGATAAAAAAGGTGGGATTTTTGAATATTTAATTATTATTACCATAATTTATACCAGCAGTATTCACTTCATCCTCACATATTACTGGCTGAACTGTTGTCACTGTGTTCAGAAATAATTAAAACATGTTTTGTATGCTGTATATACATAACATGCTATATATACCACATTTTTTAATGCATATATAATTGTCTCATTTTTAAGTCTTCCCATTAATTTTAATAAAATACACATTTCTGAAATTCAGAAATTTCCCTAATTTCATAAAATCTCCAACTATTTACCATTTGTGTATTGTTATATCCTTTATTTGCATATGATTCTAAAGCTGTTATGTTTAATTTTATGTTCTCCATCTGTTAAATATTTATTATATCTAATGCTTTATTATTTTTGTAATATATGAGAGAATTAATTTACAGCTATACAGTACAAAGTCCGAAATTCGGACGCCCATTATCCGGAACAATCTAAAATCCAGACCTGAAAACAACCAACAAAGTTTTCTTCGTAGGCTTAACACATGCACAATTGATTCCCCCGCTTCGCACATAATAAAACATCTAGAGAGTCCCGATTCTTAATTTCATTTCGACACTAAATACCTTTTTATTGAAGGAACAATCATTTTAGCATAAATTTGTATGATCAGTATTTGGGCTCCATTGCTTCATGTCTGCTTGGCACACATCTCAAACCGAAGCATTCCACATAGATACATTGTTTGATCTGATGCCAACCTGGCGAATCAT